CATGTGTTACTGTAGGCTGTCAGAGGGAGGGGTGGAAAAGTGGGGTAAGTGGGTCCGTAGCTAGAGCACCTGTTCCTCCAGTTTGATAGACAAGCCGATGTGTGTGCTGGTTCAGCAGGTCACAGAAAAGAGAGGAGGGAGACGAAGAGGGCGACAGAGAGAGGACGGAGAGGTGGAGAGGACAAAGTACCATGCTGGTTGGTCAGGAGAGGCAGTCCTGATAGAGAGGAAAAAGGCCTTAGATCCATTTAGTTCGATGTAGAGGTCCACTAAACAGAGAAAGCAGAACAGTGATAAAATACCTTGTAAAAGTGTTCATATTCCTTGTACTTATTCACATTTTGTTCTATAAAAACAAAAACCTGCATTGGCTAATATTGTAGAACAACATCAAGTAAGAGATCATTGTAAAATGTCAGAATGCGAGTTCCAACTGTGTTTGCAAAACTAGACAGTGAGGTCAACATTTGTATTCAGCCCTTTACCTGGATATATCTAAATAAAATCCATCCATCCATTAACTTATTTGATGTCAGGGTTGCATTAGGAAAGAGGCAACGTGCTGAATAGGTTGCATGCACAGTTTTGTACTGTGGAGAAAAAAAAAAAGGTTGTGTGCCCTGAGAGAATTAAATAATGTACTGAAGGTAAATGAAAACCCCCCATTCTTGCTACGCTGGAACAATATTAATATCCCTCCTTGGTCAGATAATAACAAAAATACTTTCTGATCTTCGGTTTACACACATTCCTACAATAATCTATAGCCGTTGCTAGCATTATGCTGGCGGGATATTTTCAGCAGGGACAAGGAGGTTGGTTAGTGTAAATGGGAACATTCTAAGAAGAACCTGCAAGAAAACATGCAAGAGGTTGTTAAAGACTCTAGCTTAAGGTGGAGTCTGACCTTCCATCAAGACAAAAACACTGTGCTAAGATGGTAGAGATTCTCCTCTGGAAGATTAGTAATTCTACTGATCATGCTAGAGTGACATAAATGTGGTATAGTTTCCCAGGTTACCGGTACTAAATAAATGAAAGCAAGCTGTTTAGTTGTGTTTCTCCTTTGACATAATTTCCCTCTACTTTGATGAGAATTTGTCAAACACATAAAATCACAATAGATAAATTTAAGTTTCCTTTATCATCTGAAAAGAAATAATAAAACAGTTAAAGGAGTGTTAATACTTTTGCAAAGCACTTCAGCTCTGCATACTCCAATTAAGGTTGCTATGAAACAACTAATGAAGCAGAAACTGAATTGGAGCCTCGCTTTAATAAATCTCTCTAGATAAAACCACTCTTTCAGGTGCTATCCACCCACCCCGTCTTTGTTAGTCTGTAAACCTTCTCCTCTCATGCTCTGAGAGTGCATTTGTCAAACACTCTCATGGACGAAAGACATTAATAACACAGACTGCACAGGATGAGAGACACATTATTGTTAGAAAGGTGATGTAATCACTTTTCCTCTCTGGTTCTCCACCCCAGCTATGCCCTCTCCTCTGCAGCCGGGACTCCCTTTCTGATTAGCACCTGTTACCCTCCTTCTTTCTCTCCCTCCCATCCCTCCCACATGAAAACAGACATGCACACCGATGCACGCTCAGGCACCATGGTGTTAATCCTGCACTGAGTCCATCGAGGAGGAAGACTGGCATGGAGTTAATGTATTCCCTCTGAAGTATCAAATTTCTATCTGTGGTTCTGGGCTCTATACGTGATGAGGATGAGAAAAAAATTGGACCTTTGGGTGATCGAATAGTTTAAGATATGCAGAATCAGCTTGTTTTATATTTATAGGTTTCTTCTTTGATTCTGCAGAGCGTAGGTCGAGCTCTTCAATGGCTACACAGCTCTAAGTATCCCTCCACCATTTGACAGAGTTCAGATAATGAGGCAAACACACATGGCTCATCATTAGTGTAAGTGTGCCCCCACATGGTTTAGCTGTGAAATAACAGGTGTTCGTGTCAGAAAACTATGAATGATTAGTTTGGTCATCATCATTTTGTCTCTCAGTGGTTATACACAGTTTTTCTGATGCAATGTTGCAGGTAGTAGAGAATGCATAAAGGGCCGACGTGCAATTTGGAAGACAGAGAACCTAAACAGGCCAGTCTAACACGCTTTATTACATCTGCAACCTCTTCCTGCACATTCATCACTGGGTGTATTCTCAACCCTCCCCCATGCTCCCCACCTCTACCTTTATCACTTCAATCACTTGGCAATATGCCTCGTGCCACTCAGGAGGCTTGCTGCCCGTTTCACTTCACGCAACCCAAACGCACTCCTACTATGCAAGCTCTCTCATTTCAAACACGCTCTCTGTTCGACATCCATCTGTCCGTTAGTCACTGCTCTTTGAAGCTGGGTGCAATATGGACCTGCACACACATGGAGGTCCAGATTCTGCACAATGCACCAGCTGGACTGCTGATGCCACACAGTCAGCCTGCTGAATATTCCCCATCATCATCATCATCATCATCATCATCATCATCATCACCATGCAGAGAGAACCTTGTAGAGTTATTGTTGCAGCAGTTCCAGTGGTGTCAATTACAGGGGACAAAATCTGTTTTGTGTCAACCTGTTCCCTTTCTTCCTGACAGAACAGTGCTGGTTTAACAGTTGAACGCTCAGAGGCCCCTCTGCAGTGCAAATGCAGCACTTTCCCTCTGTATTGACTCTGTCAGTGGCTTTGTTTGAGATGTGGGACTAAAAGAAAGAAAGGAATTTTAATGAATTCCTGAAAGTTGTTGAAATTTGATACCAAAGAGCAAACACTGATGAATTAAGGCAAAACCTGCACACAAAATGTTTGGATTTATAAACACTGAAGACAGTAATGGTGCAAAAAAGGCTTCTGCCTTGATAAGCAAGTTGTAAAAAATGAACAGCGTCCACCAAACAGTCAACCACAAAGCACAGTGCGTTTTACTGGGATTTTATATGACGGATAATTATATATTAGTGTATGAAGTTTTTTTCAATTAAACTCTTAAAAGTGAGACAGAAATTTGTATTCAGTCCCCTGTAAATGTAAATATGTATTCAGCAAAAAGAGCTTCAGGTATTTGGGGATTGCTTTTAAACCAGCTTCGCACACTTAGAGACGATTTCTTAGCACAATAGTTAGAGCCAAGTCACACAAGCATTTGTAATATAATTTTTTACTGTTCAAAATCCTAAGTAGTTTCAGGTCTGGACTTTGATTAGGATATTTGTTTCAGAGAAAATGTTTGCATGATTTAAAACATGTTCCCATGGCCTTAGAACGGAAAATAGCCCCAAAGAATCATAGAAATTACACAAACTTGAGATGTTATTTTTTTTCTATCATATCTTTTGTCTCATCCAACCAAGGGACATTGGTTAAAATCATTTTTAGTTGTGTTTAGCAAAAACCCTTACAAAACCTGTGGTAGCATGTAAATAGCATCTGATATTTGTTATGGAGAGACTTGGCATACAAAGATAACCTAAGTAAACACAAAGAGTAGTTTTTCCTTTATTATGTGATGAAACTGTTCAACTTAACTCGGTTCTGTGTAAAAAATGTCTTAGCCCCTGAATCTAATGGAGATAACTAAAAATAAGTATGCTAGATAACTGTGGAGGAATTTTGAACCTCTTTGAATTAACTTTTATTTTCAACCTTAAATTACAATCTGCAGCATTAAATAAAGCTTTGTCCACACTTTAAGGATGCCACTTTATAAACCCTTTATTATTATTATTATTTTTTTTTTTTTTTTGAGCCATTCATGGACTTGTTTGTGTGACTTAGATCATTTTCCTGTTATGAGTTTTTGCATTTGGTCAAGTTCACACACTGGAGAGATTCTGCCTCTGCAAGGTAAGATGAGTAAACAACTACTATTGATAGTTATATTGCAGTAATAATCGGATCAGTAACGTCTAAAAAGGATTTATGTTGAGAGTATTTTCTCATAGGTATTGAGGATATTTTCAGCCAATGTGAGACAAGCATTTGAGTAACGTTAGATCAGCTTTGCCTCTTAACTCTCCCATGGATGCATTGTTTGTCCAGTCTCCGTCTTTTATTTGATGAATGAAAACATTTAAAACAGAAGACATCTTTAGCATTATACTCTACTGTGTATTTAATATGATTAGACTGAATACACTTTAACTTTGTACTGTACTTGAGTTAACAGCAATCCTAGATATGTATGTGTTGCATGTTTAGCATTCGCTTTGGTATAAAAGTAAATATTTTGGGTGGATTCAGTTTTATTCTTTTTAGATTTACCAATAAGGTGATTCCTTGCTGATCTAAGACAACAAATGTTTGACTGCTCTAATATTAATTTCGGGTTTTAGTGGAACAAATCTTTGCTTGACTCAAACAGTATACTTTCCATAATAGCAGATATAAAACCTCCACTTCTTCTCAAAAAATAACTTTACCAAACTCAAACAGTGCAGCTTGCAGAAGGCCAGAGCATCTCTGACTGTAAAATGATCAGCTGACAAATGAGAAATTGGACGACCATCATGGCCCAGTCAGGTCATTTTGGCCATTCTGTGTTTAAGGGCTTATCTTGAGCTCAGCTCTTTTAGGCTTCAAGGCTTAAATTGAGCAGAAAATTCAAGAGTACCAAAAACAGAGGGCTGCCGTCTTAACTCAATTACTCCCTAAGTGCAATCCAAGTGGCCAGCTTGCACACTCAGCCATTCAACATCTTTAATCTCTTCTTATCACAAAGATCCATGCAAAGACTTCTCTTTGGTGATTAATGTAGTGGAGAAAATCAAGGCAGGGGATTAGGCTAAATTAGAGGAGATACGAACCCTTGCTCTAGTGCTTGTTATCTTAACCAGATTTCGTGTCATTGGAGAGAAAATTTCAAGGTAATCAAGGAAAAAAATGAGATGTGTACAACAGCTAAATGTAAAATAACAAAGAATTAGAAGAAAACTAATCAGGTAATTGTAAAATAAAAATAAAAAACTGAGGTAAGGGTTCAAATATTTTATTCCAATAAATTAACATAATTCACATCTGGGGGGAAAAAATCTGATACAGTGTTAGAATAACTTAAACACATTTGGTCATAAAAGCAGAACAGTCACTGAAATGAAAAAGAAAAAGATTTCCCCCTCAATTTGTGAAAAAGTGGATTCTGATTTAAATCAAACAAGTGCAAACAACTCACAGTGTCTCTGACGGTAGGAAAGATCACATCTTTCATACGAGATAGTGCAGAAGAGCAGCTTTTACAAATAGCTCTCTTTCTATGTACAACTAAAGCAGAAATAAGTTTAGACTAAATAATCTTTCTTTTCTGAGCACTTTAGGGATTTTTCATAGATTGCATGAAAACGCATCTTTACATGTTAATATTTTAAATAGCATTTAGACTCTTATGAGCTTTCCCCTTATTTAACAAAAACAAAACATTATGCCTGTGATTTTGGCCCATTAATTAGAATGGGAATAATAAGTACTTCATATCTAAACTGGAATAAATACTGAAAGCTCCCTTCATTAAATGTCAAGGTTTAGACCCTAAGTGGGGTGATCGTCCCTTCATTCAGTTTGCAGTGTCCACCTCAGACTCAGAGTTATCCAGAGTGGATACGGTAGAGCTATACCACTCGGCGCTCTCCTCTTCCTCCTGCGCACCTCCTCTGCCGGCGCCTCCTGCCCTGTCTCCTCTGTCTTTTTTCTCGTTAAGCATTTCCACAGCCACCTGGTGAAACGGGTGTTTGCGTTTAGTGTGTCGTCGCAGGGTGTTGCGCTCGGCGAAACGTGTGTGGCAAAGCTGGCACTGGTAGGGTTTCTCTCCGGTGTGTACCCGCTGATGGCGCTGCAGTTCGCCGGCCTCCCTGAAACGCTTGGTGCAGATGGGGCACACAAAGTTCCTTTGGCCTGTGTGGATGTGCTTGTGTCTCTGTTGAAAGAAAACATAATCAGTTTTAATGTGTTTATAATGGATGTAAAATCATTCATCCCAACTACAAACAACCTCAAACTTCAACATTTTTAATTGTAATTTAATTTGATTATACCAGAGCAAAGTCCTGCATATATACAGTTGAAGGAAGTCGATGGTATTTATTTTTGTTTGTTTTCTATTAAAGCATATCAGTGAAAGACAACATGGATTATAGACCATATGATCTTAATAATGGGCTGCAAGAAGAAATATAAAGCAGAAAAAAACTTAAGGAAGCATTTTTGCCAATAGTCACAAGCCATTTAGGACAGACAACAAATTTGGTTTGAGATGATTTGGTCAAATTACAACAAAACTCCATATCCAGCTTTAATGCAAAAATACAAAATTCCTGAGAGGTCATCATTCTTCCCTCACAACAAAATGAGTGTCAAGCTTGTGGTGCATGGTGAAGAATCAGTGATCATGTGAGCCATTTTGTCTTCCATAGGCACTATGAACCTTGTTAGAGGGCATCGTCTCATGTACTCCTTTAATAATCTAAGCTTCATTGAGAAAACTTAAAAAGGATCATCACTGGGTGTTTAAGAACATAGATTAATCAAAACCTCAGATAAATCCTAAAGAAAACTGTGCGGTGAGCTGAGAACAGCAACAGAGTGGGCAAAGATTCCTCCTTTTGATGCTCCAACTATGTAAGAGAGAAAAGGGCTGCTATGTTAGAAAAAAAAGCAGATCAACCACTCCATCCGTTCTAACATTAGTAAAAGAAAACATCCTAACATATTCATAGCGAATATAATAATAATTAAGGGTTGCTTTTCTTTTCTCCATTAAGCTAATAAAAAAATAATTACTTACATTCACCAAAATGTTAAATGCTTTTGTATGAGACTTTATCTGCTCAATGAATCCCGAAGTTAATTTCTTTTGCCTACTAATAAAGGAACCCTTTAACTGCTAACTTTACATATAAATTTTTTTTTGTATGCTGCCATTTTATTTCTGCACCTTTTTCTGAGCTTTTACAATTTAATCATCCAGACATTTTTAATAAAAAATCTGAATGAAAATATGACCTAAATCTAAGGAAAAAGGTATTTTGCAATTTTTTTGCAAATTTTTAAAAAGAAATGCACATCCCTGGACACGCTCCTGAGAGGAAACGCCTATCAAATGCGTTTGAGAGCGTGCATTGAGAGCCCATTTCTCCTTGTGCATGCTCTGTTTAAAAGTTGCTATTTGCATCGTTCATAAAAGCTTACTTTCCAAAAGAAGATTTGAAATATTGCCACTATGTCAGACTCACCACCAGTAAGTGAAAATGGGGACGAGCACATAGGACAGACTTACATATCACCAGAATGATTGATAATTAGGAGGACCTCTTATTTTGATGATCCACTCAGAAAAAGAACATCCTCCACTATACCTTTAATGTTTAAACTGGTCCAACAGAAGCCAAAAAAAAAAAAATTAACTATCAATGAATAGATCGATGGGCAGATGGTTGAAAGTTTAGCAATTTAATAAGCTGCAGCTGTATAGACAGCGGTATAAACAAAATCTTCTCTGAACTAACCCTAAGATTACAGCTTATGGGTGGAGAAAGTCTGCAGGAGGAAAAAGAATATTATGGAAAACAAAAGACAAATTTTTTTTCTTAAATGCTAAAACAAATTATTTAAACAAAACTTTATTTTTAGAGAATTACAGCCCACCACTTGGTATCTTTGTGCCTCCAGTGGGTTAGGAAATAAAGCCAAATAATAGTCTGCAAACACATTTACTGATGAGGAAGCAGATTTGCTGTGTTGTCACAAGCATCCGGGCTCCAAAAAAACATCAGTGCTCCGAATTAGGAGGAAAATAATGGGATCTGAAAGAGGCAAAGAGTTGTAATGTTCCACAGTAACATCCACTGGGAGTTTAAATTAGATTTTTAGAAAAGCAGTAAGAGACACACTGATTGTGGTGCATATGGGTGACGTACGGGGGATTTTACGTTAGATTTATATTATTATTATTAAATGTAAATAAGTATATATTATGTTGAGCAGGTTTATTCATATTATCTATAATCTCAAACTTTTTGTTTTGATATAAATAGGAATTTTACTGCACAGTGGTACAGTGTCACTGTTGCAAGGTTTCTTATTTAAAAAAAAATGTCTCCCCTGCCCAAAAGTCCATCTTCAGCCATGTTTGTTGTGTCCCCTGGGTGGCTCGTAGTTAGATGCAATACCTTCAATGTTTTTATTGATAAAAAATTAATATAAAATATAAAATGTCCTATAGGAAAAAAGTCTGAAGTCAGATATATGTAACATGGATCTCAGGTGTTGCCAGATCCTACTAACTCTGTAATGAAATAGCTTCTTCTGTGAGTTATATTTCTTAGACTCAAGTGAACAAAAAAGGAAGCAAATGGGCTCAGAACCACAGAGGTTGCTACTTTCCTCCTGGACAGGTAAGTTAAATGGTTTCTAATGTTAACAAAACTTCAGTCAATACAGTAACGTGGCACAAGCATGTGGCTGCAGGTTAGACGTGTTCTTCGTCAAACGAGTTATTGTAAAATTAATTAGGTGTCGGTTTAGTCTGTTGTTAACACCAGAGCAGCTACTTGCTATTTACAGTTAGCTTATCCTTTTTTCGGTATTTGGCAAAAGCCTGGCAAGCAAGTACAAGCAAGTGCAACACCAACTTGAGGGGAGGAGTTCAACTTCTAGCTATTTACCTTCACTTTTAAGAACAGCTCTGATCTTCCATGAGGGCCATACATGTACATGACTTGTTTTACAGTTGAATTTATAAAACCAATTAACATTTAAGATCCACTTCACAACTGTGCACCCTCTATGTGAGCCCTAACACATAAAATGCAAACAAAATAATAATAACGTAGCAAATAGCAGAAACAGGTCAAGAAGAAGAGAAATAAAAGTAGGTAAAATAAGTGTGATGTACGTATAGAATTTTGTGATTACGCTATTTAGAAAATGGCTAAACAACATATTTTGAGCTCAGGAAATAATTTAGGTGAAGAAGAAATAGCAAAATGTAGGATTTTTCTAGTCTGAATTTGTAAGTTGATAATAGAAATGAAATGTTCGGATAAAGAGACAGACAGTGAAAGTGATTGCTAAATGTGAAAGCAAATTAATTAACAAGGATAAACATTAGCTGCATCTCCTCTTCTGTTTCTGTTGTTCCCTAACGAGCAAACCAGTCATTGTAATAACTCATTGGGTTCCTTTAAAAGAACACCTGATGAGCGTCCTGCTGTACATCCCAGTAACCATAGTTACCTGCAGATGGCTGGAGCGTTTGAAGGCTTTGCCGCACTGCTGGCAGACATGAGGCTTCTTCTGAGAGTGTGTGATGGCATGCCGCTCCAGGTCAGAGAGGTAAAAGAAGATCCGAGGGCACAGCTGGCAGCACAGCACCCTGCGGGGGCCCAGGTTGGTGGGAGACTCCGCTGGTGAGAGGGGGTCCAGAGCGTCAAGAGAGTCCAGCTTGCCTGACGGAAGGAGGGGTCCAATGGGAGGTGAAGGAGACGGAGGTGGGGGAGCTGTGGCGTTGGAGAAGTAGAGGTGGTCATCCAGAGGAAGATGCTCTGAGTGGAAATCTGAGGAACCAAACTTCAATTCTGAGGATGGTAACTGGGCCTCTGCCTCGGAAGGATGTAGAATTGTGGGGTCACAGGTCGGAGAGTGGGACTGTGCAGAGGTGGCTGCAAAAGATGATGGCTTGTTGTTTTCACTGGTGACTTCTTCATTAGATATGGCTTCACTTCCTGGGTTTGACTGAGAGTAGCAGATCTGAGTTTGGATCGCCGTGCTGAGGGAGCTGTCCTGCAAACAGACGGTGGGGGAGGGGACAGTGAGGGAGGTGAGGACGGGGCCAGAGGCCATGCTGTCAACACCTGACAGGATGAGAGGCGAGTTGCTGGGATCCAGTCTGATTACAGGGTTAGAAAAGTTGGAAAGAGGCGATCCGAGTGCGTTGACCTGACCCGAAGACAAAGGGAGAGACACTTGACCTGAGGTTGCAGTAACCTGGGACAGCTGACCAGTCGAGGGGTCGAGGACAGCAATGGGGGTGGAGGTAGAGGTGGAATCTGTAGATGTGGAGGGTACAGAGGAGAGGAGAAGCAACATGGGTGTGGAAGCACCCGGTGAGGTCACTGAGAGGGGAAGCGAGAGACCAACCGGAGGGGAGGAGAGCTGAGGGGAGGAGGAAGACAGGAGGAGGAGGGGAGCACTGGTTGAAGGGTTGGTCAAGATTTGAATAGTTTGACTAGAGAGTGATATCCCCGATAAAGGGGTTACTGCTGTTTTAGCCTCCTGAGTATCTTTGACATTCACCTCTACAGTAACTGAAGTATCAGAGTTAGTCATCAGATTTAACGTATCACTTCCTTGTGGAGACAGATCACTGGCAGGAAAATCACCAGGTGCATCTAGTGCATTCTCTAAACTTTGGCTATAGCTTGGACCTGCCAAATCTGATGACCCGTCTTCCTCTTCCTTCTGTATCAAATGAACCTGATCCGACTGATGGCCCCCTAAGATGGAGGCATCAATTTGGGGCACTTTGAGTCCATCTGGACTTAGAGTATAGGGGATTCCTTGATCATCAATAAGGAGAAGGTTTTCATTGTCCTCTCCTGAAGAAAGGGATTTAAGGACGCAAGTAGAAAAGTCCACAGAGCCCTCATCACTGTCTCCCTCCACCATGTCTCTGTCTCCATCTCCCTCAAACTCATCCACCTCCATTATCAGGGGGCTCGCACATCCCGGATCCTCCAGAAAGCGCCCGTAGATCTTCTCTTTTGTCTTGGGCAGACTCAGATCCAGCGGCTCCATCTGTTCCTCCATCTCTGCCTCACTGAATGTTCTAAAAGACCTGGTGTTCATTTCTTGAATCATCAGAGGAATATTATGCTCAACTGATTTCTCTGTAGGTTCCTCTTTAATCCAAAGATGGCTCAAAACTTTAACTGTATCGGTATTGGAGATTAGATCAGAGTCTGACCCATCCATTTGTGTGATTTTTACATTTCTCTCTGCTGTAGCATCTCCACTAATCTCTTCTTTCTTCTGAGAAGCTGATATGGGGACTTGTTCTCTGTTGTTTTCTGTGAAATCTCTTTCAGCAGAAATCAAAGTTTCACTAAACTGTGACCCAGAAGTGTCTTTGGTTGGGCTGAAAGCACAGTTTATCATTGGCCTATTGCACTCAGGGGGGACAACAATTCTGATCCTTATTGGTTGCTTACCCAGGACCGGCACCCCATGCTTGGCTGTAATTGGCTGTCCAATCCCAGCAATCTTACTGGTTTCCTGAGAGACCGGCTCAGATGTCCCGCCCACCTCTGGCTGTTCCCTGTTGACTGATTGAGCATCTCGCCTGATGATGGCCACAGCAGCTCTGACTGAGCCAGACTTCAGGTTACCCGGTTTGGTACTGGGTGGGAATTTTTTATCCTTTTGGTCCAGAACGACCTTTGTCACGGGCTCCTGTGCCTCTGCACACTGGCTGCCATTTTGGACTTTCAGGCTGCCACTTGTTAGGACTGAGGCCAACTGAGAATCCATTTTGGGGCATAACTATTCCTATTTTATAAAATATAAGGAAGAAAGGAATAGGGATTAGAAAATAATCATGTCAACATTCATTTAAAAGCAAACACCCGTTAAAATGAAAGAGTTAGAAACAAACTGCATAATAATACTTATTATTATGCTTTATATTATAATTAAAGGGTCAAGCCAACGTTTATCACTAGTTTTTAATGGTGTTTTATTTCTAAAACGAATAAGGAGCAATGCATATGATGCTGCATCTTCTAATTTTCCTCCAGGAGGAGGGTTGTACTATTTTTAATTAACCTAACCATATTTCCGACAGAGATGTTAGACTGGAGTCGAAACGCCGCGGAGGCGAGAATTTACATTTTCCAGCACCATCCAATCACCTGAATGCAACACGGATAACGAATAGATTCCGCCTCATAAAATGATTGGAAATCATCTCGAAACGCAACATATAGCTGCTCTAAATGATTACTGGGAATAAAACCAAGGAGAGCTGTCCATGGAGGACGCCATTACGCACAGACTTAGGTCCGAAACGCCAATATGTGTTTATTGTGAGGCTGCGCTGTGCCAGCTGTCGGACCTGGGACAGCAGCATCACAGTCACGTCAGCCGGAGCGGAGAAACGTGTCAGTTCGCGACCGAAGCGGATCCCGTCCTCCTCGCTGCTTCCTCGGACCTACAGCCAGCCATTTTACGGAGCCGAGGGTCCGAGCCACCGCGAGCGCAGCTCCGGGGAGGAGGGAGGGGGAAACTTTCCCAGCGCGCTGTCCACCTAATTCCTGCTTGTCCGAGATCCGCCGGCGCCTTGCTGGACAACATACATTTAAAAACACTGCATTAAAAAAAAAACTATACTCCACCCATACCCTCGCTGCATTGGGACTGGCTTACCCGAGCTGTGGATATTTCCGGAGGACCAAATATGACTGTGCAGTGTAAAAAAAAAAAAAAAAAGGGTGATGCTGCGAATGCTGAGGGAGGGAGGGAGGGGTCAAAAGGAGTTGCTATGGTGTCGCAGCCTACCGGGTCCGAGCAGTAGCCATGTTCAGCCTATGAGTACTGTTGAACCTGCAGCACAGGAGGGCTTCATTGTGTGCCATTAAAGAGCCAGACAGCATGTTTCACATAGTTTGTCTCTTTATTTCAAACATCAAAAAAATATAAAGCTCACAAGCCCTGCAGGCTTGATGTGTCAGACTCAACAGCAGAAAGAAACAGATCTCACAGTGAAATTAATCACATAGTCTGTTCAGCAGGGGCGGAACTAGATGGGGGGCCAGGGGTGGCCATCGCCACCCTTAGCCAATCACTGGCCACACCTACCATTTCCCCCCCCCCTCTAAAGCCCGGCGTACACTGTGCGATTTTTCGGGCGATTTTCCAGTCGTGCGAGAATTTTTCATTCGGGCCGATCAGGAATCGTGTGACCGTCGTAGGCAAATCACTCTGTGCGCATGCGCAAAGATTTTTCTTTTGGGGATGCAATGAGGGAAATGCAGTTCTGTCTGTAAAATTGACACACCATAGTAGCCACATTTGCTCAGCCATGTCTTTTTTCCAAATACGTCGTCGCCTTTTATTTTTAGGGCTTTCAGCACCAATGTGCACAAATTGCCAAGGGAGCGCGTTTCACTACAGTGAGCGTCATATTCCCCTTCTACTTGTTTGGCTTCCGGATAGATGAGTCAGAGCAGCTCCATCTCACTGCAGAGCTCAGTCCGATGTGCTTTTTAGTTGTATAGTGTGAGCAGGTAGATCGCATGAGAGCGTCGGGCCGAACATAAATCGTGAACCCTGTACGACTAAACCGTAGGGTTTAGTCGTACAGTGTGAGCTGTAGCTGCGTGCAACGACTGAAAAATATCGCACAGTGTACGCCCGGCTTAATACAGATGGTGGCAGCAGTAATACTCTCAAGTGGAAGATTCATTTTAATTTTTCATGTATTACTTTCTATTTTTTTCAGATATTCATAATAACTTGACAACAAAAACACTGTGGTTAATTATGCACATCAATATAGTAACATTAAAGATGAAAAGTACAGAATTCATGCTATTTTCAGAACTAGATTTTGTGTTATATGGGGTAAAGTGAAAATGATGTGTGTCTGCAAGTCCTCTAGCAGTCTTTTGTGAAATCATAAATAACTATTTTAATACAAAAGGTATTAAATAATCTATTTATGTAGATATTAGTACATCAATTTTATGCAGAATCATTTTTGATAAAAGTAGGTAAGTATTAAAGAAGGAAAAGATGTTCGCCCCAGAACTCAAACCTGAAACAATTGTATCCCCTATATCTTTTATCTAGAAAACATGGATGTTTAATTATATGCGTCTATTTGTTAGCAAAGGCTGTAGGAAAATATGGTTAGTTTTAACTTTGGTTTGACCCTGAGGTTCTGGCGCCTATCCACTTTCAGCCACCCCTCAGTGTACATTGGTTATTGCCTGGCCACCCTAATAAAATGTTCTGGCTACGCCTCTGCTGTTCAGGCATGATAGAGCTTCTAATGAACTATGAATTTTGACAGTTTTTGATATGAGAGTTTATTTCCCAGTGGAGCACTGGGCGGCACAAGTAATCAAGGTTAAGAAGTTATCTCTCATTTACAATCCCAGTTATGAGGCTGATTATCCACAGAAAGTCTAGAATTTTGTTTTAACATATATCAGGTATAGAAAACGACGTTTTAATGTTATATCCATTCACTGACCTATTAATCTCTTCATCAGTCTATCATCCATTAATCTATACCCAACCCAGTAGACACATGTCTACCATAAATTTTACATTTACCCTTAAACACTGGATTACACACTTTTTTAAGAGTGATATTTAAGAGTTCTCAGTCCATTTGTTAGCCAGCTACATCCTGTACAGTGGGTGCCTGCAATGCAAAATTTGTTATCTGAGCTGGACCCTCCAATTTGGAGCTACAAATAAAATCTAATGCTGTGTTTTGACTGTAGTTTATGCAAAGATCAGGTATCTATAGTCAAATAGAAAACATTCTTAGATAGCTTGTTCCATGCTGCAGAGATTCTTTCAAACAGCTTGTAACAGGTAAAATCACTGAGAAGAGGGTAAATGTTAGCAGAGACTCACCTCAGGTTCTTTTCAACCTAGAAATACATCTGCATACATCACAACAAAAGTCCCGAGAGTATAGAGCAACTGAAGGTGCAGCAAGATTTAAGCAAGGTTTGGATGTAATAACAATGCCTTTAGAGTGCAAGAGAAATAGAACAGCAGGCCTAAATAAAAGATGATAGTTTAAACTTAACCACAATAACTCACAAACCTAAGAGATTTTTGCACAAATAATATCTGAAAGAGCAAAATAAAAGCACATGAATCTGTACTGATTGTCCAGGGGGTGTTATTAAACCGATGCATGTCTCAGTGGGTTGAGATCAGATGTGTTAGGTGGTCACTCTACGTCACCGGGCGCACATGATTCAATCTCCGACACTAGCCGATGTGGGAAGAGTTTATACTGCAACCATGTGGGCTCTGAAACAAAACAAAAAAAGATTGTAAAATCATTTGCCTTTTAGGGTCAGACCATTAGTATCCTAAATGTAATGTGTCTCACTATGAATCCAGAAGGTTCAGTATAAGAGGTTATAGAACCCAAACAAACAGCTTTATGAAGAAAAGGGACTAAGCAGAGTTAGGTTTCACACCTTCAAATCTACCAAGATATCATCATCTAAATACAGGCTAGTAAATAGAACCAGAGTAACTCTGGAGGATCTGTAGAGATCACAAGCTCTTTTTAAGTAAAATTAATGAGGAAAAAGTCTGCAATCCCTGGTAGGCTGATGTTCTAAATAAAATATCAATACACGTTTGTTATATAATTAGAAATATATTAACATCAAAGGAAAAACCAATGGTTCAGTCACTATGGAGGAGTATTAGGCTCACTGGAGAAAGAATAATAAGAAGGAAGTTCTTTTACTGCTCACTTTTATTTACATTTTGAATAAAGTTGAAAAAAGTAAACAAAGTTGCCTATATAAGCAATCTAGAGGGAACACTGGCACAAAACCTATGTCAGCCCTGCCTTATGTAAATAAGATAGAAACTTTATACTTTCAAATAACCGAAACCTGGACCTACACCTGAGGTATCAAGCATACCAAACCTGTTTGAGAGGAACGCAGCGGTTTGACATCTTGCCTTTCCTTTAATACCTTATTCCATTTAACTCTCACATTAATTATAGTAGTATAGTTATTATTTTAGCTTTATTCTTGGAATCTATTTTGAAGTGATTTTTAGATATGTCAGATTTACTGTGTTGTGAAATACAAAAAAAACATAAATTTAAAACTATCCGCCTTTTTTTGTTTTGCTCCAATAGATGGTAATATTCCATGAAGTCATTGATCTAGATTAGATCATAGATTTCTTTAGTTTCAAACTGCTGCATGATGGATTAAGATAATGCCTCGAAAATGTAATAACCCTCAAAGTACTACTGCGTAACCAGATTATGAAGAGTAGGCTAAGTAGCTTTCTTTCAAGGAATGTTTCTTACATGGGAATGTCAGTCTTCTTTTAGACTTAAGTTTTATTTTTTCTTTTGTCAAATAGCAAAAAACAATGCATTGTTTAAATATGTTCACAATAAATCTTATGTATCCATGTAGGGGGCATAGCAAGGATGGAAGAATAAGCTTTATACATATAATACCAATGCAAATATTTTTACCTGCACACAAAAAGCTATATGAGGAGGGGAAAGCTAAAAGTGTACATCATTCTGTATGCACCGTCTCGACACACCATATTAATGCTTAAAAATGGTGGCAGCATCATGCTGTGAGAAGGCTCCTGTTCAGCTACTCATTGTTAATTAATAGATATAAATACAGAGAATCATAGATTGTGCAAAAGATTTTAGATTTAGGACAAAAGTTCACCTTTTTCCAGCAGGATAGAGCTACTAAACACACAACTGGAGCTATAGTGATATACCGTACTACATGTTGGTCTATCATATGAAATATATCTGGAATTAGATGTAGCAAAATAAGGACGTTTTAGGGTTTGATAAGTCCTGTAAATAATTGAAATGGTCTGTTGGGTTTACCAAGGTAGCACTGCGGTGTCTGCAGCTTCCCATCAAAGCAGGTCTGAGCTGCTGTGAAGCTGCACTGCTTCTTGGGATGTTTGCAGTAGAATGTCACGTTTTCCCCGTGGGGAACCATGGCATCCGTGACATCGAATGGCCAACGCTTCACTCCACCAATCACAACACGGCTTCGCTCAGCAGGGATGACACAACGAGCTGTATCATGAAATTATGAAAACGTCATGAATAAACATTTCAACGTTTATTTGCAAAATTCTTTATAGGTCCAATTTTTATTCCTGTGAAACCCAAATGGTCTGGGCTTTTCCTCACCTCTGCAGTGTGGTGGAGATGCGCTCCAGCTGCCATTTGACAGACAGGTGATCTTCTGGGGTCCATCCAGCAGGTAGTTCTTCTTGCATAGATAGTGGATGTCAAAGCCAACCTCATATTCGGCCTTCTGGATTGCAACCACGTAGCCCTCTTTCACTTCCTTTGGAGGTTGGCAGAACAGTTCTGCAAGGCAAACGGATTCAATTCAATCAGCTTTTCTTTGCAACACCACTGATTTTAAACATGAATCAGAAAACAATAGTTGTTCTATTCTTATTAAGATATAAATATGTTTAATAGAAGACTGATTATTTGAAAATCTTGCATAATAATAAATATAATAATTCTGTATAGGAAAAAAAAGAATGATATTTGACATACTCAGCTCAACAGAAGTATTGATGAGTTATTACAAAATGACATTAATCAATTAGATTCAGGGATGAAAAACAAATCTGATGCTCTGGTTGAATTACATTCAAATGAGCCATATTTACAAATGAGGTGATTGGATTTTATTTTGGGGGGTCAAAGTAAAGAGGTCTTAGTATAAATTTGTGTCATAGATCTCAGCCTTTACTTTAAAAATCAAAGTTAAGAGCAATGTCTGCCTATCCTACTAAACCCAAATAAAATACTTACGTTTGAAGTGTCATGTGAGCATTAACACTTTAAAAAGGCACTGTGTATTGCTGCATAACATGCTTTTACTTTAGAGAACAGGTTTACAGACTCCAGCCTTTAAAAGTCTCAATCAAGAGACTATAATCAACATATATTGTAAAATTTTGTATATGAAAAAAACAACAAAACAAAACACGTGTTTTTATATTTTGTGGAAAATTAATGGGTTCCCCCCCCCCCCAAGCAAATAATCTCTTTCATCTATGCTTTTATAACAAGCAATGAATGGTGATTATACATAGTTTATTTTGCTAATTGCTGTCCAGTATGGGGTGTGCTTTTCATGAAGATTATTTCTGGACTGAAACATTGTCTTGTTCATAATTACAGAGTTAGGTGTTAAGGACAATAAAGAGTTATTTTAGTAGTGGAACTGAGGGTTTATTCATCTTTCTTTATTAAGGGTTGCTGCAGCCTTAAATCTTCATTTAGTCTGTTGAAGTGCATGTAACTACCTTTTTTTATTTACTATATGATGATAACTTCAATGTAGCTTCCTTCAAATACCCCAATCATTTCAGAGTGTTTCCCTTTTCCTACCTATAAAAACTATGATAATAAATGTAAACAGTATTCAACTACTGATATATATATCTATATATATATATCTATATTTATATATATATATATATATCTATATATATATATATATATTTTTTTTTTACAGAAGTTCAATCCAGAGAGTTTGAGTTTTGGCCACAAGAGGGCAGGAGAGGACTTTGAAACATAGCCTTGTGTTTGTGCCTCTTTCTTTTTTTTACACTCCACTGAGGATTAAAAAAAATGCAGTTTCCAAACTAACACCTATTATCAGTCTCTCACCTTAGCCATTTACTCACTCACACATGATTCACTAACCTTCAGAAGTGTGTAAAGTCTTGCTGAGAGTGAAGCGGATGTAACACATAAACACACACGCTGCACACTTACTTTTACAGACCGGATGAGGATGCAGCCAGGTCTGGTTCTCCTGGCAGAAATTTTCTCTGCTTCCAACTATTTCTGCCCTGTGGGGTAAGAAAACACTACACTGAAGAAACCAGATTGGAAGATGACCTATACACTACAACAAGGGGTGCTAGAAAGGTCCTTAAAAGGGGATATCAGTAAAAACTGTGCAAATGGATCCTTTGCTTCAACCTCTTGTTTAAATTGTGTGAGTGTGATCATGAGTGCAGAAGCTCTGGCTGACACATCCACTCTGGCTCATCCTTTCCTGTGAGATGAGTCAGTGTGTGAAAGGGAAGTCGATACAAGATTTGACTGTAATGACCTAGTTAGCTCAATGGAGGCATCATCAGCTGGGAGATCAAAATGAATTCCCTGCCATTCATCGCTCATAACACCAGCCTTCCCCTCCCTCCCTCTCTTTTTTTTCCTTCACACTCCATCTATCACTTCCTCCGCTTCTTTCTCTGTATTTCAGAGCCACACTCACCCAGACAGGCAGCTGTAGCGGATTGAAGTACCCACAGTGGCTTCGCCGTGGATGCTGAAGGTGTTGATCACCTCTTCTGGCAAAGGACAGGTTTGAGCTGGAGTGTTTTCAGGTGGCTCAGACACTGTTTTTCAATGGAAGAGCAAGAGGTGTCAAAAAAGGTGAAAGGTTGAATACCAAACAGGACATTTGTGTTAATCTAAGCAAGAGAATTAATAAAATATAAGCACATTTGGGTTTGCACAGCATTATTCATTTAAGGTTTAATGAACCAGGAATAATACTGATCTGTTAGAATACTAAAACAGCGAATGGAAATCCTCAAGTAAAGCAACAAACAGGGCAGTTTTTTATAAAAAAAAAAAATTCAATTAGATGATTTTCTGCACTTGATTCTTCATTGGATGAAAGGGAGCAGAGGTTCTAAAATGTGTCATTTTAAATGCTATAGTTCCAGTCTTACTGAGCTTAAGGTATTTTGCAGAGCAAAATCGCAAGAGAGTCTCACTGCAGACCTGCACTGTCAGGACCCTTTGTTGCAGACCTGCAAAATGGGGTCTCCTGAACTGTCAAAACTGGAAGTTTATTCCTGAAGTTGTATTTGAAGCCTTCGGGAATAGCACGCAGCACGTATTTGCTGCCAGATTACAGTTTATGGCAGTGTTAAACTGAGCAGAGGAACAGTTGAAATTATACAGTAAACAAAAATCCTCATAGGCAGCCAACCTCCATTGTCGTTTAGAAAATGTCTTATAGACCAAATGCCCTTTTCCATCCAATGATCCAAATACAGAGACTTAATTCTATGTAGCACATGTCTATTATTTCAGATAGGAGTTTGGTGGGGAGTAAAATTGTGAGCGTTCATAGGTTTCCAGCATAACAACACTTGTTTGTGAAAGTAAGCTACGTAGCTTCACAGGGAGTTTATTAGCGTTAGCTTTTACTTTAAAAAGGCTTTGAATCAACTTTGCTTTTACTTTGATGTCTTCGAATAAACTTCTGGTTCTAACAGTGCAGAAGACCTAAGAGTGCAGCTCTGCAGCCAGGATACTGACAGTGCAGTGTAACCAAAAAGACAATCAAGAATCTCCTATTAAATAAATAATGGAGATTATGGTTGTCAACTGACAAAATTTGGTATTAATATTCTGCAAAAGCATTGCAGCACTACAAAATTTATGGGGAAATTTAATGGGTGTGGTTTTAGTTATGTAATTGCATGGGGTGCTCCATGTTATTGCTGCAGGAACACTTATATTTTATTTCATTGTTTCTTTTACTTGAGATAATATGTATAAATCTCTACAACAGTGAAGTATCAATAAGCCGTGGCCCATGATGTATTTTTCTGTAAAACTAATATGTAACATTAAAAAAACATGATTTAAAAACATGTTCTTTATGTTGATAGTATCTACAGTCAAGCAGAAGTCCATCCTGACACGTCGTTTGCCCTTTTAAACCCGGGCTTTCAGTTACCCACAGAGGGAGAGAGTTTCACCCAATGTCTCGTTCTATTTCAGTAGATATAACCCTTCTTAGGTAATAAACCAGAGTTCGACAAGCAGGTGAACCGCCGCCTCAACCCTCTCCAAGCTATCAGGTTGTATAACTGCTGGCTCTGATCGTTCCTGCAGCTGAGAGCCTCACGCTTGTGCAAATATAAATATCGGAGAGGTGCTTTGCAGAGAGAAGCTGTAGTGACCTGAGCTGTTTTGAACAGGAACACAGCTTTGAAAAGGCAGAGAATGCTCTCGCCTGAGGACTATTTCTGCCTTCTGAAATGGATAAATGTTCAGATAAGAATACAAAGGCACCTATGGGAGATGGAGATATATTTGAGAGCCTGATGCCAGGTTCTGTTTTCACATACCGCCCCTCTCCTGCCTGGTACTGCTACCTCCTCCACACACAGAATCTGGCACCAAACCGTACAGATACAGGTATATCAGATTCATATTCGTACAAAAACACATAACAGCGATTCTGAATGAACCTCGATGAACAAAATGCATCATTCTGACCAAATGTGTGCAGATCTGCTTAGGGTGGTTTCACTCATGCAAACATGTACACGTCCACATCCACACTATGTAAACTAAACAGCCTGAAGGTGCACGCTTGTCCTTGGCTCCTATTGTGGAGAGAGACCTTATCTGAGGCCTCAGATGGAGAAGGATGAGAGCAGAAAGAGATGAGAAGAGAGGAGGAAAGGACAGAGAAGAGGAAGGCCTGAAGCAGAATGAGCAAGAGAGCTTTCTGACTCTCCAGACTGTGATCTGTCGCCCACACACACAAAGACACACAGACAAACAGTGTGACACATCTGCAGCCCGCCCCTCTAACACATCTACATCCTATCTATCCAGAAAAATACCTTTCTACCTCCTGGTAAACACACACACAAACAGTGCACATGGCGTTCACTCTGACAGAGACCCACTGCCCACCGCCTCATAACAGACACAGATCCACTCCACTCACACCGGCACAAAAACACACAAACCCTCGCACACGCTCAGAACCCACCTACCTTCTGCCTGTCTCTTCGAAGCAGAGGTAGAACTAAAGATTTTTATCCTGATATGACCGCTTTGAAGAGGTAAAACACATATTTTGAGAGCGAAAATGATTTTTTTCGGATAGCACGTTTAATGGAGCTGTATGGTAGAGATCGTTAGCAGTGACATGTAAGCCCAAGCAAATATAGGGAGCCCTCTTTTAATGCTGTGTCTTCATAAGACAAGATAAGTACTGATTATTTTAGATTTGTGTTGCCTGCTATACTTTTGAGAGACACATTTAAAGTCAATATTTTATTGTAGTAGCATTATCTCCCTTTGAGAAATTTATAAAAAATCCAACTTTTCGTTTAAGTGGCTTACATTTTGTTCTCTGCAGGAAATGAAATATGCAAATTAAGATAGAAACAGGACAAACTAAAAAAAATAAGAGATCACAGGTTCTCTGTAGGATTTAGGTCTGAGACGAAGGTATGGTAAGGTAAGATTATTTGTATAGCACATTTCAGTACATGGACAATCCAAAATGCTTCACATGATTCAGTGTCTGCGTTGAGTTTATCATTTTGTATCATTATCTTGCTCATTCAAACAATACATTTGATATTTATCAGAGCTGAACAACCATTTAAGGAAACAATTTATTATCTATTTGATCCATTGCAAATACCAAATAATATAAACACAATTTCTGATTTTTTTCCCCCCTCCTTTTTTCAAATAAAACAATTTCTTCCATTTTGTTGTTAGCTTTTCTATCTCAGCTACTACAAATATATATAATTTACAGTACACATCAAGGGCAAATAGAGTGATCCAACCTGGTCAAATATGTATATAATATATTGGTTTTATGAAATCTATCCTTATATCATATCCAAACAGTCCTGTGCAAATCAGGTGTTGCAATCACATATTTTGATAAACATTCAACCTAAGATGAAGTCTTAGATCTGACATTAGTCTGATGAAAAGCAAGATTTCTAACAACAGCCTGTGAGAATTGATCTTTTTGAATTATAAAGCAACTTAACTACTATGCAGAAAAATTTTTATATTTCATAAATTGTTTATTGTCCAGGTAGAACAGACCTGATGGAAACATTACTCACACTGTATTATTCTAAATTGTGCAGTAGTTAGATATATAACATGTTTTAAATGTTTTTTCTGGATTGATGTCCTATGTGTTTGAAGAGGGACATCACATTCATGTGGTGATGTGCAAAAGTTGATCCTCAATTCTAACACGCCTTTAAAAGCTGAGATATCAATAGAAACATGTTAAATTAATTTGATTATAATTAATAATTGAGAAAACTAAAGGAAAATATCTGTCCATTATGTTTAATGAGATTTCAGGAAATATTAGAAACAAACTTCTTGGTTAATTGAAAAAATAACCAAATCTAAATATTTTAATGTAAAATTATAGCAGCAAAATTTAATATCAATTGAGCTGACAAAAGTAGAATACAGCTAAAAGGACTCCATACGACTGAATTCGTACTAAAATAGAGAACTTTCATACTACAATTTGCTCACCAGGCCACATCCTCACAGCTATCACACCAGCCAGTATTGCTATTCTTTTTATTCCATTTCTAATCTCTTTCCAAACTGCTCTCTTTGCCCAAAAGCTAAAGAGGATTAACATAGTAGTGGGAGGCTATATTGAAACTCCTAACCTTCCAGTTAAAAGAAGACAGATAGACACAATGCATCATGGATGGACCACTTAACAGTGCACTTCAGCTGCTATTCCACACATTCATTCGTTGGGAACATGTCACTATTGGTTAGTTTCAAGTCCTACACTGCAAAAACAATCTAGAAATAAGTCAACATATCTTAAATTAGGCGTATTTACCCTTAATTTGAGTAGGTAAGTAAGATGATTTGCCCATGCAATTAGTATATTTACTCTTAAAATAATATAATTAGATAATATGCACTTGATGTAAGACAATACACTTTTTTTAAGTAAATTGTCTTGCTCCATTTGCAAAATGTCTCACTTACCTCTTCAATTCGAGAAAAAGTAACTAATTTAGATTTTGTTTTTTCCAATGAACATTTTATATTTCAAGTTATTACAAGTTTAAATGAGCTATTCCCAAATTATATATTTTGTTTTCCCTATTTTTACTGCATGATAACTTTTGACTTTATGGGGTCATCAAGTCATATCAAGTAAACAAGCAAAAGTTCCAGTCAATTCACAAGTCATTACTATTGAAGTCTTTTTAAAATCTTAAATGTATAGTGGAGGATGTTCTTTTTCCGGGTGGATCATCAAAATAAGTGGTCCTCTTAATTGTCAATCATTCTGATAATATGTTTACATAAGGCCATCCTATGGCTCGTCCCCATTCTCACTTAATGGTGGTGAGTCTGGCATAGTGGAAAAATAGTAAATCTTTTTTTGGAAAGTAAGCTTGTATGAATGAGCCAAACAGCAACTTTTAAACAGAGCGTGCACGAGGAGAAATGGGCTTGTGCTCTCGTGTGCACTTTTTTGAAGAGGGGGGGGTCTTTTGAAAAATTTGTGAAAATCCTCCTCTCTACCTTTAAGTTATCTAATCTGTAACTATTGTGAGTCAGGTAAAGTCATCAAGTCGAAGTCCATATCTTTGACCATAATTGTGGTTCCAGTTAAAGTCCCAGAAGAACTAAGCAACTCCAGCTATTTGTGATGATTGGACAAAAAAATTTTTTCCTGGCATGAATCCAAACGAACTGCGATAAACACAAAGCATTAACTACAAAATGCTTGAGTTGCTCCATTTTTTACAGGAATTCATGGTTCTGTGTTTTTCTTCAACACAGAAAACAGTTTAGGATAAAAGACTCTAAGTGGGGAATTATCCTACTGCAAGAAAATATTCATTTATTTTTATATGCTTCTTTATTCTAAACTGTGCGATTATTTATCACTAAATATTTTCCCTAAATATAAACATGAATCAAAGATTTCTAAAACTAATTATATCTCATGCTTATGTGACAGCTCAATAAATAATAATTCAGTGCATCACAAAGAGCAGGTGAGCTGCTGTTGTTACCTGAAATGCAAAATGCAGTGTCAAATAAAAAGGTTTTTGCAAGGTATTTTGAAGTTGTACTGTAATTTTAACATCAAATTGTGTTTTTATAATGTAGTGAGTGTTTTTTTCAGTGTCCTTAAGCAATAAAGCGAAAACCGTTTTATATTTTGTCCACCATAGAATAGCCCACATATTTATATCCTCCCCACACAACAGTTTTACTTTCCAGAATATTTTTTAACACATCCTGATTCTGAAAAGTCAATTCGATGCGTAAATATGGTGGAATTTTCTCGGAGGCTTATATATATTTGATGAATTTGTGTCCATTTGTCACCACAGTTCATCTCTTTGAGAGAAAAAGACACAAAAGAACAGTCTACAAATATGTAAAATCTGCACGAGTATATTTTTGTGTCTGTGTTGTGTAACAACCCACCTGCAAACTGGACGAGCGATTCACACATATTCGTAAACATTTTGACATCTCTCAATCAATTTGTACGTGTGAAACTGATTTTTAGCACAACCGCTTTGTGGATGATGCTAAATTGGTGACTTAATTGTGTTTACTCACAGATTTTTGTCCATTTGCTTCTTTGCTTGGCAGCAAAGGTAAACACATTGAATTTGAACACAGAAAAAAAAAACTCACACTCATGTAGAGGCAAGAAGATATGCTATAACACTCAAAGGGTTTCATTTTGAATTAGAAACAGGTGGATTAGAAATATAGAAAGGCTATTTCGGGGCTTTCCTAATTTTCAGAACCTAAATATTTAGACGCTTATTTATACATATAAACGAGAAAAAAAAAACATTTTGGCACAGAAAAGCTTTTTTGCTTGCACATTTAGATTAAAGCTCACCTGTGTTAATTTAGATTTTAGGTCAATTAAATCCAGACCAAATCGTTTAGTTTTGCTTAGTTAGGCTTATATCAACTTCACATAAAAACAGATATATTCTGATGAAGGCTGCAGGTCACAAAAAGTGGCCTGGAAAAATAATTAACATAGATGTTAAGTTTGTTTTATTTAAACAAACTATGAAATTCTTACGATTCTGAAAGTTTTCATCAACCCCACGTTATGAGGTTAATAAACAGAACTAATTCCTTAATTTCTGCGCAACTAGGTGCTCTCAGGAATCTCCATCTACTCTCTGAAGTTTAATCTCTTCATCATTAATTGAGAATAGCATATTTGGATAGATCACTTTTATAAATTTTATACCCTGACCTATTTGGTAACACTTTTTTTTTACATTACATAAATAACAATGTAATAACATGGTAATAACTGAGCAAGTCACAATATATATTACTTGATAACAAGAAAAACTTTATTTGGTATTTACACCAATATTAAGGTATATCATTTAAAAGTAATTACCTGCATGTAATTATTAGAATTGTATGTTACTAAGTAAAAATTGAGACTTTTGGTGGGTAATTACCATTAGGTTACCACATAATGGTTTCTGTTTTTGGCCACCATCCACCAACGGCTTACTAAGTAAATTGTAACTTATGGTCAGGTAAATAAAGCTTTATTAAAAAGAACTCAAGTTACATATAAATAAGAGTCTAGTTAAGAAGATTAGCTTGCCGTCTTCTGGGTTTGGTTTTCGGTTATATGCCAAGTAATAAACTGCATTTTACTAGATAATAACACATTAATTAATTGATGTGGGTGAAATAACTGAGTTACCTGCTAATAACGGTTTGAAATCTTAGAAGTCTGACTTTACCTTGTCTGCCTAAGATTTAGATCACAGCACTTCACAAATTTCTCCAAAGTTTTTATGTTACCTAGTAATATAGTGAACTTGCTATGTTATTACCATGTTTTCACATGGTTATTGATTCACTGTTTAAAAAAAAGTGTTATCACGTTTTTCATCTATGTCCAGGCATTTTATCATTCACTGATTCAACTTCATTAGTTAAAGAAATGCATTATTTCAATTAAATTCTCCCTTTTTATAAGAATAAAAAATGATTGTGTTAATCACTTCACTCTTTCGACTGTGTTTGTGGCTGAAGGTAGGATAACTGCATCTGTATTTACGTTGATTACAGACAGCAGATCTGTTATGCGTTATGCTAATTGCTCAGAAACAAAAAAAAAATGCAGCTGCCTGAGAGCGACTGGTGCAGTAAAAAATGGGAAAAGAGAAACCCTAAGTGCCAAAGGCTTTACAAAAAAAAATTATATTTTTGTTATCAATTCAATTGTTTTTAAAACAAAGGCATCCTTTTAATCATTTTGTATCACCAGAGACCAAACAATCAGAGAGGAAACAAACAGAATGAGATGTAGCAAAGACCAGTATCAAATGTCTCAATCACAAGAATTGATTGATGGATAGTGGAAGCCCACTCTACCTTTCCACCATGTAATGCCTCTACTCATGCTTTATTTTTAACACAGAATACAGACTTATGGTGCTTTAAATGATGTTCAGAGGGTATCAAACAGATGTCTGATAAAATTCCCTTTTATGCAAAGTAGTAGTAGTTTTTGCATTTCAGAGTAAAGCTATAGATTAAATGTTGGAAATGTTTAACTCAAACATCCTGGGATTGATTCAAATTGAGCAAGATTTATCAGGAAAAGGCTTGTTTTTTTATAGGAGGCTTGTGTTTGAACCCACTGACAGCCTGATAAAGACTAGGCCATTTTAAGCTATCAGCAGCAAGATCTTGGGTCTGTGAAAGCTCTGGTTGACATGGTGATGGGGAGAATAGGTCACAGTTGTGCAACACGTCTAAGCCGTCACATTCACAGAGGGGTTTCAGTCCTGTTCATCTCCCTCTGTCTCTCTCTCTCTCCATGTTGTTTAAACACACAATCTCTAATGCTTATTCATTGGCCCTTAAAAAGCTGAACCACATTTCTGAGAAAACTAGTAAAACAAACCTTTTCATTTAAATTTCCAGACATTTAAAAAGAGAACAATAAGCCCACCTGCACAGATGGGCTCATCTCCGCTCCACTGTCGGTCACCCTGACACCTGCGGACAGTGACATCCAAGCCATCGGGCAATGTGAAGCCTGGCTTACAGCGCACTTCTAGCAGGGCAGAGAAGGAAGGAGTGGGAGAGAGGAGGCGGATTTCCGAGGTTTCACTCAGGGGAAGAGGCCAGGGACAAGTACGACCTTAGGGGGGGAGGATCCAGGAGGGGAGGAGAGAGAAAAAACAAGAGAGCTGGATACAAAGCAATTCTTAGAAATTGTTGGATGGTAACCAAGGAAAACAATTACTGACAAATTACTCTAAAAGAGCATTGATGAGGTTGTGTAACTAAAATGCAAGCAATCAAAGCGCCCTATTTTTCTGACACACATACGCATTAAAAAGTTTGTGTTCAGGTTTTGATGTGGTTGGGTTTCATTTTATTTTTCCAGGAGAAAACAAAGCTTGTTTGTTTGCTCAGAAACACATATACAGGGTCTGATATGGGTGTAGGGCTCACCACCCAGGGCGTTATTTCATAAGGGGTGGCAAAAGTTGCTCCTAAACAGGATTTGTTTTTTATGTCATCAGTGAGGATTGGATTGACCTTCAAGAAAAGCAAATATGCTCATAATTAGTATTAGAAATATGTTTATAGTGTGGTATTTATATGTATACAGTTATGTTGATGTCAGTTCATGGGTTTTAAGTTATTGTTTGATATAAAGCCAACTATTGTGTCCTAACTTTCAATGTTATTTAAGAAATATGTAGTTGAAATATGTATTGATTAGCTATAGTTTAAAATCTAAAACACTTTCCAAATGGAAGCCATTTCAATGGTTTCCAAGAAACTGGAAAAATAATTTAGATAGAATTAATTGCACTCTTTAAAATGCAGCCTTTATGTAAGGTACTTTCGCTATGTAAAAGACAATAAAAAAAGTGCTATTTTATTATTATTTATATATTTTTTTACTGTGTTATAAAGTATTTTTATATTATATTTGGTGAATATTGTAATAAATTTGTTCAAATTTGTTTTTTTGTTCTTAATAGTTAAAAGAAGATTTAGATAATATCAAATACAGGTAATTTGTTGTTGCATTTTTTTGTCCGGGGGGGGGGGGCAAAACAAAAAGCCAGGCCAGGTTTCAACAGCAGTGCAGATGCAGATATCAAGCACATAAAGTTTCCAACTGTGAAACAAAATTAATCAAATTACCTGGAGCCACACAGCTGAGACCACATTGGCCGTCACACAAACACTGCCGCTTGCTGCCGCATTCTGCGTCCGATTTGCAGTTCCGAGAACATGTCCTTGTTCTCTTCTCTCCTCCCTGAAGTCTCACACATGACCCTGTTTTGGTATAAAAACACTCACTCATTTTAGATGAAGACATCTAAAAAGAAAGGGCACTGGTAAACGTGTATGCAATGTAAAAATCTTTTGTGAGTTCTGAAAAGCTCTAGATAACATCACTAATACTTATCTTAAAACAGTGTCCAAACGACAATATTCGTTCTCTGCACTTTTCCACATTGTGTCAATTTACAACAAGGAATTACATTCTATTTGATTGGGTTTGTATGCCAAAGACTATAACAAAGAAGATAAGAAAGAAGCCAGAGCAAGTAACTAGTTTCAGAAGTTACCCTGTTATTGAATCATGGTCTGTAAATTTAACATCTGTGTAAAAGATGGCTGTTTGGGATGTTTATTAAAAAGTATTGTTTAAAAAAATTATTTGAAAGTGAAAATAGCTTTTTCACAACTACTAACCCGCCTGGACACAGACATCCATCCAAACAGTATATAGAACAGGAATGAGAGCATTTGTAAGAAAGTCAGCCAAAAGGCTCACTGTTATTATACTAACTGTTGGAATAGAGAACAATTATTAATATACCCTACAAATCTGTCCTTTACAGAAAAAGGGAAGCAGTTAAATTTTGCAGTTTGTCACCATAACCTTTAATTTTCCAGCAAGAAGCAAACTGTTGGAAGCATCATGCTATGGACATGCCTTTCTTTAGCAGAAGAAGATTAGCCTGTTAGATTTTATAGGATGATGGAGGATGCTTCAAACAAACAATAATGGAAGAGAAAACATAAAAAAAAAAAATCAAAAGACTTGAGGTTTTTCTCAGAGCATGAAAGCCTACTGCAGAAAGAGAATGGAAAAGTTTAAAATTAAACCATGCTTAGAAAGGCTTAGTCAAAGTCCAGATCCAAACAGCAGTGAAGACTGATACACAGCACATTTACTCTTTATCTACTCTGGCAAAGCTTGATCTATTTTGCAAACAAGGATGGACAAAAATGTCCCTGGATGCTGGTGACATACCCCAAACAATGTGCAGCTGTGATTGCAATGATTGGTGGCTATGCAAAGCAGTGACTCTGGAGGGCTTAAAACAAATGTAATTCAAGCTTTCTCAGGTCCTTTGGAGTTTTTTTCCCCACAATTTTATTTGTGGGGAAATTGAAAGCCATCTATTCTTTTACTTCGACTTTAGAATGATAAACCAAATTGTTTTGCTCAGTCAATAAAATTCAACTAAAATAGGTTGAAGATGGAGCTTTTTCTGTGGCAGCATGTGGTACAAAAAAAACAAAGAGTACAAATAATTTCACAAGGCGCCATATGTACGACCATAACCACCTTCTGTGCACATCTTCTACTGACAGCAGTGTGCATGATAAACATTACAGAACTTTGAAAATGTTTAAGAAGAAGTGACTCCAGCTATAACAGGATTCAGAGGTACTATGTTACTCCTTCTAAATGCAACAGAAATAACAACAAAAGCTGCATTTAAGCAAAGAAATCAGCACTGGAACAATTTTTAGCTATTATCTACAGTACAGGAGATATAATATTGATATTACTATTATAAATGGAAAAAATTTTTTTTATAGAATTTATATTCTCTTGATTAAGAGTTCCTGTTTTAATTTTCCTTAATAACAGACTCTAAGTCAGTGCATTTCGATGCTAAATAAAGGCTTCTGGAATTTTGATGCTTGATAATCCTCACATCCAGATACAGGAGAGAGCAAGCAACAAATAAAAAGTGTGTAACCATATGGCTCTATTTTACCACAGGTAGTAAAAATATGAATCATAATTCATCATTGACTTGTGGCTTACCTGAAGACTGAGGGGAAGCTGTGGCAGTCAGAGCCCAGAGGAGAAGCAACAGCAGAGCAGAGTCCATCCTTAGAGCCAGACCTCAGGATGGTATGAGTGAGGGACAAACTCACTCACTCGCTTTTTTTAAAGAAGTCATTTGTGGAGGGGGGGGGCAAAAGGAGGGGGTTCTGAGAACACATCTGTTTTGTGTTGTGGAAGAAGAGAAATGAGGAAAATTCCACTCTGAGGGACCTTTCACCCATTTCTGTTAAGATTGCAGATAAAACGCCGGTTAGCACGCCTATAAACAGGGTGCTTTAAAAATAAATATATTAATCAGCTACTTTGGGGAAGTCAAATACTTGAACTTTTTTCATATTTTGTAACACTACTTGTGGACTTTAAATTTATGGCACAGTGTAGAAAAAAAGAAACATTACCAAAAGGTCATCAAGCATGCTGAATAAGGCCTGTTCAGATAAGACTAAAATTGTACTTTTTGAACAACATGCAAAACCCATGAGAGGAGAAGAACTAAAACATCACCTTGAATTCATTATCCCCACATGTAGACTTGGTGATGGAAGCATAATGCTGTGTAGATTAGCCACCATAGATGCAATAGTGTGGCTCAGATCCAAGCTCATGTGTTTTTTTTAAAGGAGCCATTCATTGCAGCCCTACACCCAATTCAGTCTATTAGACGACTTAAAAACTTGTTTATTTACAGATATTCTTTGTCTGATCTGATTTAGCTGAGGCTATTTTGCAAAAATGAACATGCACATATTTTAGTCTCTAGATATACAGAGCTAGAAGATATAGCTTAGCTTTAATTGCTAAGAAAGTTGGTTCTACAAAGCGCACATTAGATGTTTAAAAAAACAGACTTTATTCCCTCTATTTCTCACTTATGTGCTCTTTAGTTCTGGTCTATTACATATAATCCCATAAAATATGGTTGGATTAGTGGTTTTCTATGTGTAAAAATGTAAAAAAGTTAAATATAAGTCAATACTTTCACAGGGCACCCACTCAAGGACATTCTCTTAAAAAAAGACAGTGTGAAATAATTCCCTAAACGTCCAGTGGGACATAAATCATGTTTGTCAGTCTGCTAAAATACATTGGAATGCATGCAATGTGAACAAACAAGGAGAAGATCAAAACATCAAAATAGCCCTGAAGCATCCCAAGACATATCACAGTCTGGCTATCACTCTGAACTTTGACCAACCCCCCCTCTATAAACAGCTACATTTATTTCCAGATGGAGCTTAGGTGAAGCATAACCTTGTGAAGAAACAGTCAAAACAGAAGAGAACAGCAGTGGATGAGAACAATCTTTTATTGGTGTTTTTTGTTGTTGTTTGCTTGTTTTGTTTTGTTTTGTTTGGGAAAAATTGCAATTACATCCAGAAACAGCCAGCTCAAACTGGCAGGGGATGGGGGCACCATGAACACTATTTATGCAGCAGTCACTACAAGGTTCACCGATCACATCTGTGAGGATATTAGAAACTGGATCCTGTTGGAGAGCAAACAATCACTGAGTGAGATGATCGAGGTCGAAAGGAACCGCCAAGGAGCATTGTAGTCATCTGCATAGTCCTTACACATCATGAGAACAGAAGAAATAAGTCTAAAATAAGTCTGCGTGAACGTCACGTTCAAGTCAATGAGCTGAGTTTGTGGGGAGATGATGGCGGTGAAGTCCAGAAAAGAAGTGGTGAGCATTTCTGAAGAACACCCAAGAACATATCTCTAGTTTCAACAGATCATATCTCTCCAAAGAAAGAAAAACATTCAGAAATATAGAATAATAACAATATGAGGGTAGTCATCATAATAATAACAATAACAATAGCTGTAATGGTAACTATCCATCATGGTTATTAAAGGGATTAAAATCACACTTCAGCTAGTCATCCATCCCCCAGGAACATAATAACGCTGAGTACCATGCCCCTGTGTAGGTGTTAATACAGTAAAATGCAGATGGGTAGCTATGGGGGGTGGGGAGCACTAAATAGCAACAAGCTCTGCATCCACCTGGGAAATCTTTGCTTTAAATTCTCCCATAAATATGGGAAATTTTTCAATATTCCAACCAATAAAGGGGGGGTTTAGTATCACCATGCCGCTAACTGGTGTTTCCCAGTATGTTACTTTACTATATGGGGAAGTTGACCATGGGTGCAAGAAGTAGAGGCATGGATATATGAATTCAAATAGGATGCAGAGGAGCAGGGCTACTCGGTGCTGGCTAACATCACAAAGCAAGCCTCTTGGAGAGAGACACAAAAATAAAAAAGGATCTGAATATAACAGGGATTTCAGAAATATGCACCAATCGACAGATTGAAATCATCTGTTAAAAACATAAAAAGTAAAACAAAACCACAAGACCTGGTCAAGACAAGTGCTGAATACACCTTGTGTCTGTCATTCTGTCTCTACTGAGCGTGCCCAGTGACCTTTACGTGACAGGGGGGAAAAAAATAAAATAAAGGAAGTGCTCGAGATAAATTCCACAAAATGTCTAACAATACGATAATTTTGGCTCTCTATATTACAAATTATTACATACATCCTGAACCCTGCAGCTGCATCGTGACTAAAGCATCATGAAGGTTGACATCTCCTGACTCATCTAAAATAAAATGATGTTCACCATGGCTTCTCTGCATCTCTGTGTCCAAAACATGTAGAAAATATACAAAATTATTCTCTGCATATGCCCTCCCTCCACATTTTTCCTAAGTATTATAAAAATATACAATTCTCCAATAACAAAACTCTTAAGTCACATCTTTTATATTCAGTTAAATTACTCTCTCTCTCTCCATCAATCACTTTTAAGAGCTCAACAAAACGAGACACCTGAGCTTCAATAAACAACCCTTTTCCATGACTTTTACATTCATCATTTTATTCGTCAATGTCCTTCTCATCATTATGATTTTGAAATCATTAGGTCCGTTTAAAACATCCAGGAAATTCAGAGTCTTAAGCTTAATCTAGCTCCTCTTGTGGATTTTTCCTCCATCACTGGTCACCCAGACGGTTCTCGTATTTACTAAGGATGTTGCGGCACCGGCCCAGTTCTTTCCGAATCTCAGCCACTTCCTGTCGGAGGGCGGCGTTCTCTCGCTCCAGGTAGGCAGCGCGCACTGAGATCTGGTTCTCTTTCAGACGACGGGCGTCCCGCGAACGCTTTGCTGCCTCATTGTTTTTGTACCTCCTGGTCCAGTATTTCTCATCCTAGAAGAGGGACAGAGAGAAGGGGCATATGATGGGTTTAGAATCTGATCTTTAATCATTAAACCCAAATAAATTAAGTACGTTTCCTGCATTTCTGACTGGTTTGTTACACATAAATCTTTAGTTTATTCCACTAGTTTTATTATTAGTTAAAGATAACCTGAGTAAATACCAAATGGGATTTTAGAATGACTGTTTAATCTGCTTAGGAACAACAATACAATGATCAGTTAAGTGTGATTAAACACATTTCGCCTTTGTCACACTCCGGCCTGCTCCTTGCTAAAACCATAGAATCAAGAACCACTTAAATAGAGCATTTCTTACAGCTTGAAGTAGGCGAAAATATTTCAAATAATCCAAAAATCCAAGCATAGAAAAAGCATCAATCTAAAATTGCCAAGAAAGCGATATAAACAAGAACAGGAGCCATTATCCACAAACCAAAATTACTCCAAGATGGAAATGATGGCTCAGGTAAGGCCAGTGTTCATACTTCAACACTCTGCTTTAGATTTCAGAGGGTTCCTTGTTGCCATGCCAATGATAACATACCAGGCAAACCTTGACAGCATTGTAAGGAACTGGTCAAATCTGATGAATCAGAAGTTTTGGAGCAGGAACATTTATAAAACATGCAGGACTGTGCATAAAAGCTGACGGCCACTGCAATAAGGCAGCATTGTTTGCACCCATACATACTGTAATATGGCTCCGATGCCGTCAATTACTATGGAGCAGGGTTAGTTTGGCAGCACTGAGAGCAAATAAAGTTTAAAAAGTCTAAAATCCAGTTTGACCTATTTTAATTCCTCTATAAGAACTATAGACAAAGGAAACCTGGGTAAAACTTTCAAAATGCTTTTTTATAGCCTTTTTCCATGAGCATTATTGATTATTTATAGTGGGAGTAAAAAGACTTCACACTGTTTGTCTCAAAGCCCTTTCTGTAAAAAAGAAAAAACTGATTTTACGGTTTTAGAACAAATACAAAGTAGTTAAAGATTCCCTTTCAAACTATGTTTAAAAAGTCATACCAGCTGTTAGCAAGTTAGTATTTCTAAAACAGCTGGTCCAATATGTATTCTGTAGAGAATATAGTGGTTTGACTGAAACCCCCCAAAAAACAATTAAACTTTTTAGATCCGGTGTGTTCCATATGTGGTGAAAACTAAATAAGGATAAAGGAGAGCAAATTTTCCATTCTCTGTCCAGCCTTCCTGTAATCTGCAGAATGTTTTGTTTTCTATTACTCTCTCACAGCCAGAAAAAAACACTAAACATTTGCAGAAAAAAAACAAATTCCTATTAAAAACTATTTGCATAACTAACTTATAGACCATTAAATCTGAGTCCTCCATGCTTTGGAAACCACACACAAGTGTTGCTTTCATTGTGACCTAGTAAGACTTATGAATGTAGTTTTGTAAGTCCTATTTTTTAACTACAGACTTATTAAATATGAGCAGATGCTTGTCTTTTTCTGAGTAATCTGTTATCAAGGTCAGCTACATTTGCACCGGTTTACTCATTTATATCACAAGTTTAGTGGCCTTTGCTGTGATTCAGCTAAAAGTGAATCACAGCAAAGGTGTTATTCACTTACTAGTCTATCAATCCGACTATTTTATTCGTGCCCAAAATGTTAAAGAAATAAATGTGGATTTTGTTTTTTTTTAAATGTCATTGTTTAAGATAAAAAGGAATTATTTTTATGGGCAATTAAAAAAAAAAAAAATTACATGCCTATTCTCTTTCATTTAGCAAATCTGTAATTAGCAAACACCTGATAAAGTGCAACCAACAGAATCGGAGTTAAATTTTGTGAACTCACCTTCATGTTATCAGGCACCAAGATCTTTCGTGCTTTTTTGATCATAGGCTGTGGTTTCAGCTCTTCCTCACTAAAGGAGTGCCTTCTGGGGTCAAAGTCCTGCTCTCCAGAGGTGCTGGACATGGCCATGTCCGAGTTATCCATATCAAACATTCCAACGGCATCTGGTCCGCTTTCCGTAGGCGTCAGTAGAGGGGGACAGGAGGAGGAACAGGAAGAAGATGGCGATTCACAGGAGTCGTTCATACTCGTCTGACCACCTAGAGATAAGATAGGAAATTTATGTGAGTTTATCAATGTGCCTCAATCCTGAAGAGGTTAAAATGAATTAACTGGATGGAGGTCAGAATCTGACAATTTTGCTCACCGCCTGAATAATAATATTCTTGTCATTACTTTAATATAGATTAAGATTTTTTTAAATGTCTTTAGCAAAATATAGGCATAAAATGTCTGATCAGTGCAACTCTGCTAAGAATTAATGATGCTTAAAAAATAACAATAAAGACAGATAAAAAATATGAACTTAGTCCTGGTGGCCACCAGATGGCAGCAGAGAGCTGCTTTACTCAGACTGGCAAACATTCCTGTGACTAGAGGTTTTTTAGATAGTATTCATGAGGAGATAGATAGGGTTTTTCATTACATATTTATAGTTTTAAAAAGGTAATACATAAATAAAACAATAAAAAATGTATTTATATATTACTACTCAGATATAAAGAAACTGAGCATCAGTAAGGTATATACATAATTTAATGTCACTCTTAAATGTGTAAAGTTTTTTAACTTGTTTCTAATGGACATAGTCAAGACAATAACTAACAATTATTAAAGCTAATTTCCAAAGAGATAGGTACAAAATAAAATGTTATATATATAATCCCCCTCTTTCAAAGTCTAGGGACGTCGATGATCAGCCAATAATTAAATATGAAACTGATCTTTTCTACAGATCTTATTTACCCCTGTAAAGGTCTAAAATCAATGATCTAAACTTATTTGAGAGCGTTAATTATCAGAGGAATTATAGTTCATCAGGTACTGATTAGTGCCTTTTAGTTAGATTGATATATTTGAGAGGTTTTGAGATATTATAACAACTGACATTGTCTGTTATTAAAAAGAAAATCTTTATTGATCAAAATTGGAATCGGCATGTCAGGCTTTTCAAAGATCGTGAATCGGCGATCGGTCAGAAACCTGCAATCATTACCCTGGGATATACACTTACATGATATGGGTACATTTCTACACAATGTTCCTACTGTTTCCTCCTAATCTCAATGTTCAAAAATGCCAATGCCTTAAAACCATGATCATGTTGCCCAATCAGTGGGATTACCAACACTAAATCTTTGCATGTTTACTGCAGGAGATCAGGGCCTCTGCTGCCATGCAGGTACAGCCCCAACATCTCAAATCGGTTAGCTCGCCTCCACCACCTGGTTTATGGTTCTGTTGAACTGGAAGTCCTGAATTCTGGGCGGCTCTCAGACTCCATGTGCAAACTGGTTTCGGTGCACGCTACTGCTCACATGTTCTGACAATCAACTTCATGATTGCAATCTTGAGGTGATGAGGTGGAAAACTCATCAAAACTTGTATGACAGCATTCCATTAAAACCACTTATAAAGCAGACAAGGCTAATCAGTTTATTGCTCCTACATTTGTTTCCTACTTTTCTCTTTATATATGTTTGTTTATAATCTATGTAATGCAATAGAAGTCCAGCAGCAGGGGGAAGGAAAGTCTTCCTGTTGCTCCCCCCCACCACCTCGTCTCTGTGGTGCTCCTCCTCCATCTCTTCCTAGCCCTGCCTCTAGTTCCCTCTCTGCATTACTCCCATCCTCTTCACGTGTACCGACGCGTGCACATGGCCATGGCGTGTGAATCGGGGAGAGATTAAAGACACACCACTGCAAACACTCTGCACACTGCTCTCCCTGTGTCTTTTTTTTTTCTTTTTTCTAACTGGGCAGTGTTTTGACCCTGCTTCAAATCAATTATTGGCTGTAAGAGAGAATTTGCTGATTGCACTGTACACAGCTGCACATAGATCACATTCCTAGCTACAGAAAAGCCCCTCATCTCCACTGTGAAGTTGACTCATCAAAAAGCACTTGTTTACCATAGTCTTACAGCTTTAAACCCCCAAAAAACTACTTTTAAAGCAAGTTTATGTTTTAATTTGATTTTGGATTTAGAGTCATGTGACTCTATCTTGTGCATTCACTCTTAAACCAAGACCACAGAAATATGCTGTGTCACTGATGTTTGTTTAAACTCAAAGAAGAACCTAATAACAGACACCACATAACCTTGGCTGGATATAAAACACCATTAAATAATCAGAAATCTGTATTGTGGGACTTCTTGTCCTTTTTGGCTTGTAAACTATTCAGAGTTTGATTAATTTACCTTCCAAAGTTGATTCTGTAAGACAAAACTAAACAATGTGCACCTGTGTCATCGGAATGGGCGACGTGGAATTAAAATGTTATCATATTTCCTGGTTTTTATTGTGGTAAACATAACAGGGACTAAAAAGGAATCTGTCACAGTTATTTTAACACCAACCTGGAACAAAACAAAAACAAGCTTTGGTCACCAACTGTCCAACAGCCTACTTTAGGACACCAGCCCCATTACCGTTTAAAATCAGTTAATCAAATCAGTCTTATTCTCAGATATACTGATATTTAATTATGCCAAATAAAATTCAAACAGAAACGAGTAAAAATTCCAATCACAAGTAGTAAATAATATGTATCCCAATCGATTTTTAGATAACAATAGTTGCAATTATTGCCCATTCCTAAGCACGGTCTAATCACTCACCATGAAGACAGTCGCTTCCTCCTCCTAGACTCTGCGGCTGGGCCACCTCCAGGCCGATGAGAGACGGCGAAGAAGAGGACGATGGTGAGGAGGACGAAGATCCGGGTGGAGACGAGGGCGGTAGGCACTGGGAGCTCTGGTTGGGCACAGCTGACTGGGAGCTCTGGGAAGGGATCTGAGCTGAACTGGAGCTGTTGTTGTTGTGCATGCTGCCCATACCGTTTTCAGTCAGAAACTCCTCCAAGTCCATGTATTGGAGCTGAAAGAGCCCCCCATCCGCAGGCAGGGTGCGATCCCAGAGGAAAGGTCCGAGGAACTGATTGAAGCCTGTTCCGCCATTTCCTCCACCTCCACAGCCATTACTGCTGTTATTGCTGACTGGTCCATTGCCATTCCTCATGGCGCACCCTCCCAAAGAGTCCTCATCAAGATCCAGCCTGTCTTTGTCTACAAGAGAAGCAGAAAATGTTTTAACTGCAGAGAAGCAGGTGGCAATGTTCTTTTTTCTAAATCTCACACGATCAAGAAACACAAACTCCCAGATGGACCAGATGGTAGGTAAACTGTAACATCAAAGCTAACACCAAAACCAGTTTGCTGCATGAAAATAAAAGGAAAGCTTCTCAACAAATCTGACAATGACAAAAAAAAAAAAAGAAATGAGTGTATGCATTATATAGAGGAGCTTAAGCTACTACGCTGTAATCTGTATCCTAACTTGAAACAGCAACAGGGTTTATAATCCAGGAGAGTGCTGAGGGTCACAGAGGAGTCATCCCAGGCATGTGTGCTGGCACATGAGCCTGGGGTGTGAAGCAATGTGAGTGAATAAAGCGCTAAAGATAATACTACCTATTTTTAAAACAATAAAAGTGGGTGGAACTAGCATGCAACTGGTAAACACCACAAAGATGCACAAAGTTTCTCACCTTTTGCCTCACATGGATTCTTCAGCCGGTGGTCTCCCTTCATGGGTTGCTGCAGGAGGGATTTCAAACCGGCCATGGAGTTGACCTGGCCGCCTGTAAGGGAGCCTGCTGGCTGTGTACAACTTCCAAACTGTGGGCTAGCTCCAGCTGGCAGGTCAGGGGTCGGTAGCTGGGAGAGTTGCCTGGACATCCTGGACTGGAGGGGAGAAAGGGGGGGAGGGCTGCACCTGAAGGACTGAGGCAAACTGACCAGAGAGCCTTCCAATAGGACAAGATTGGTGGAGGGCTGTTTGTTTGCATTCAGGAAAGGTGAAAGGTGATGGACACAGAGAGAGAAACATTGGTTATTTTGGGTTATTCATGCAAAATAAAATGCCTTTAGTACATGCAATCTGTAATATTGTAAATACAGATAAGAAATAAGATTTGAATATTTACCTTGTAGTTGTTGCTATGGAGAGATCCTTATGTTCTTGTATAAAAATTCTCTTCAAAGTACTCCATTGTATTTAATTGTTTTTAAAACTGTAGAATGGATTAAGGTGTTAAAATGAGAAGGAAGGTCAGACCAGATGAGCAGGAATACAGCCTTTAAAAAGCAATAACAACCTCTGGGTGTATGCAAAAATAAAATGTCACAACTGCGACGTGATATCCAGAGTTTGTTTTTTCTTGTTTTTATGTCGCTCTGGACTCCAAAGCAGATTTCCCCTAAAATCCTTCCGACGATAAAGCAAAAAAAAAAAAACTGCGTCGTAAGAAAAGAGTTCGTGTAGAAAAACCAAACCAGAAGCAGCAGCGGTCAAAGGAGTAGCTGTGTGTTGGTCAGATGACAAGTTGTGTTGCTGCTGCTCTCCTCTGCTGTCCGTCAGCTTGGTGGGAGGAGGAGGAGGAGGGAACGTTTAGTCTGTCTGTCTCTTTTTTTTTCTCTCTCTCTCTCTCTCTCTCTCATCCGGTTGATAGATGCAGTCACGGGCGCACGGGCTGGGATCTGCGTTGTGGCTGTCCGATAGTCCTCTGCCTCTCGCGCTCAGCTGGAACCGACACGGGCAGTTCACGTGACGTCACGCCTCGCAGAAAGGGCGAGAGGAGGCGTAGCCTGAGATTTGGCGAGTTCACTCATTTATTTATGAGACACACCTACTCTCGTGCTCACCTCGAGGAGAGCAGGCTTTTTTATGGCAGGTCGTTTTAGAATATAATCAAAGCGCAGTTTTCTCAAGGTTCCAGGTCAATTCGTCCAGTTAGTCAGCTTTAGAGGAACAAGGTCATAGGTTACTTAATTTTTTTGACACCATTTTATACCCATATATACGGAAGATGATTAGGGCCACTGAAAAAAAAAAGTTAATTTCTAAGTATCATTTAACTATAACATGAGAAAAGTCAGAATTCTGAGAAAAAAAGTCAGAATTCTGAGAAAAAAAGTCAGAATTCTGAGAAAAGTCAGAATTCTGAGAAAAAAAGTCAGAATTCTGAGATTAAAGTCGGAATTCTCAGAAAAAAAATTTGAATTCTGTAAAGTCAGAATTGTGAGAAACAACTTTTTTCCCATATTAAACTGAAATAAAATTTAAAAATAATTTTTTTCAGTGGCCCTAATCCTCTTCCGTACATATAGGTCAACTTAGCTTCTGAATATCATTTAGTTAATCATCTTTAGTTATATTGGGTTTAATACCTTATAAATATTTTTCCATAATATATACTTATTTGAAATCTAATAGTCTAGAGCAGTGGGGGAGCTAGACATTCTCATCATCAGAGGCTTAGCCCACAAAATATTTCATTATAATTAAGATGATTTATGACACCAAAAAAGTAAGATGTCATTCCTATATGCCACTCATTTGTATATATTTATTGCGGATTTAATCATTATTAAGAACTTAATATTTTTAGGGAAATAACTTTTTTGTCTGAGAGGATGTGAATAAGAAATAGGCCTTGGAAGCAACTAGAGCAACATGTAAATCTGAGCATATTAGGGAGGCCTGACCACAATATCACCCACTAAACTCGCCATTACTAATAGTGTAGCATTTTTAGTATGAATTCACGTTAATATACCTAAAATAAAATAAGTCCACCTTCTGAAAGAACACAAAGTATGGTCCGTCCATCCATTTTCCGTCCGAGTTATCCCAAATGGGGTTGCAAGGGTTTGCTGGTGCCTATCACCAGCTGTCAAAGGACGTGTGGCAGGTACACCTGGCCAGATCTCCAGTCTGTCACAGGGTAACACAGAGACAAGACAAACAACCATTCACACACACACTCACACCTAAGGACAATTTAGAGAACCCAATTAACCTAATAGTCATGTTTTTGGCTGTGGGAGGAAGCCGGAGTACCCAGAGACAACCCACGCATGCAGAGGGAGAACATGCAAACAAGACCCCACACCGGGAATCAAACCCGGAATCTTCTTGCTGCAAGGCAGTAGTGCTACCCACTGCGTCACAAAGTATGGTGTGTTCTGTTATTATCCCGTCCCACAGATTGATAACCCCAAAGCACTAACTAATCCGACGTCGGTGCTTACCGGAGAACCAAAGCTGCTGCTTCAAATTGCAAACAACAAATAAATACTCAGATATTTGTGCACACACTACTACTCACCAGTGAAACATGTGTATCAACTGATATTTGAGGCATTTATTCATTCATTTTCTGAACCCCTAGTCCTTTTATCAGTTAGTGGGAGGGCTTTAGCATATCCCAGCATTTATCAGGCAAAGCCAGGTATAAACTGACAGGTTACCGGTCCATCACCCTTTGAGACAATTGCACCTAATTGATTCACATTTACTGATCAAAATGCAGTTATTTAAGCTTAAGTCACTTTCATGTTTACTGGATATTGAGAGCAACCAAACAGTACTTTTAGTCAAGCTGCTAAAAACAAGTCACAGACAGGAGTTCCTGTCTTTACCATTTCTTACCTGCTTCTTGTTCCATCTCTGTCTCCTCATTCTGGTAGTTCTTCTTTCTCTGCTGTCTTTCTCTTTGTGCTGCATTCATACATTCATACTATTATTTGGTATTTTATGACATATGACACATAAAACCATCTCTATTGGTTTTCTAAACTGAATCATTCTACTACCTTTTAATAAAGGAACTGATTTGTATGGTCAGTCAATCTAAAAAAAAAAAAGTATATTTATATATATCTGAATTAAGCAAGACTGGAATAAATTATTATAGGTTTACCTAATATAGAAAACAATACATACCCCTTAAAACGCCAAAGGGGATCATTTCTACTCATCTTACTGCAACAGTGTCAGTGATACAGTATATTTGTTATAACATTTTTTTTAATTATATGCCAAAATTAAGAAAATAAATAAATAACAGTAAGGATCCATTTTAGGAAACGTTGTTAAATGAGAGAAGCAGAAAAAACAGCGTTTAATGGTGAGAGATACACACATTTAAAAACCAAAAGGATCAAATGTCCCCCTTTGGTTTAGAATTATGACAGATATTTGTCAGGCTTAGCAGATCACTGCACTCTTTTCATTAACCAATGCTAATCTAGTCAAGTGCAGAATAAAACTTGCCATGTTATCATATTCCATCACTAAATACCTTCATTCGTGTTGAATGTGAGCAGGGACAAGAGTTAAATATGGGAGATTGTAACTAGTTATCTGATAGAAATGCTGAGGGACCTGAGGCTTGTAGACTGAATTTAACTTAATGAATATATATACAATCTAATTTCCACACTACAAAGTGAACTAACTAAAATAAAATAGAAAATTATTAAAAAGGATTAAATTAAAAAATATTTTATGTTTATAGGGCAAACTAAAACTACAATAAACATCCAAATGTTCTAGGTTGAGCAGCTTCAGACAGCTTGTTGATTTATTTATCATATGATAAATGGGCTTGCCATACTTTGTTTTTCTGACAGGTACAGTGTGACTTATTTATGTTTTTTTATTCTCATTACCAAAGTGCCTGATTTGCAATCAGTTTTATGTGGAATTATTATTTTTCATTTATTTATTTTTTTGTGTGTTGTGTCTAAGAGGGAACTATATTTTTTCTATTGCAAAGCCTTCCAATTTTAACCTTTGATAGTCTAGTCTATGTTTTCCTTCTTAGTAATGGCCGGTCACAGCTGCACGAGTTTTCCAGTTTCCCTTGTAATCCACTGAAAACGTGAGTGTGCTGTTTTTTTCAGGAGAGGGGAGCGCTTCCGCACGTTGCCTGTCGGCGTACAATAGCTGTCCCAGCTCACGTGGGTGAGACACGCGGAAAGTGAGCCTTGTCCGTTCGCGTTCCCGGTTTTGATTGGCCAAATCGAGCGGTTGCCCCGCCCTCAGAGACTGAGCCATTGGCCAGAAATAGGTCAAACCAACCCGCCTGCTTGGATTCCCCACCGCGTGCATGCCACTGCCGCGTGAGACCAGCAAGGAGGAGGGAAGAAGGCGCGAGGGTTTGTCTTGTCTACTGTACACAGTAAAAGCGCAAGCGAAAACAAAGCGCGCCACAGGAATTCACCTGTCCTCCCCTGACTCATACAGAGGTCCACGTAGATAAGAGACTAGTAAACAAAATCAACATTTCATGACTTATATACGGTCACTTAATAAATACCTAAAACTTCAGTAATTATTTCCCTGTATATTTTAAGGATTACAGCCAGGATAAGCTTTAAAATATTTTAATCAGAGATCTAAAACCCAACTTTATTTCTTCATACATCAATTTGATTATTTAAATATTTAAATGCATACACCAGAAGACCTACACCCCCCCTTAATTTCTTATAACTTTGACGTGGCTCCTAGATTAGTTTACTTGGCGGTATTAATCTTCCAGTAAACGAAAACCGCCACATTATTTGCATACATGATAGAACGCCCAGCCTTACAAGTCCTTTTCCTATCACAGTTGCATCCATGTGACTGCCCCACTCATCCCTACCAGGCAAGGATCACTATGAGAAGCTTACTGCCATCTTGTGGTGCCACAAGTGAGATCCAATTATTCTTTGAATAGAGAGAAAGCTGCATCTCAAAAATAATATTAACGTTTTATTTCAAACTAATTATGTTTTGCTATAACCTTACACAATCCTGGCAGGGGCCAACTTGATATTGAACTAAAATAAAATCAATGAAATATTTCACAAGTAAAAGAAACATGTTATTGCTAAAGAAGCTGGCTCTTCACGGAGGGAGTTAGCCAAGCGTTATAATGGAAAGATAAGTGGAAGAAAAAAATGTGGCACACTAAAAAAACAAGTGGTACTTTAAGCACCTGCATAGCCGAATCTAAATGTTATACACTCATCTGGTCCCCTTCCAAATGAATGTAAAACCTACTAGCCAGTGTAAATTTTAATCATTTTAGTGTCAAAATCCAGATCTCTCAGAGACTGGTGGGTAATCGACACCATACAGAGTAAAAGTTACACTGCATGGCTGTCACTTTTTCACTATTAACTGAAACACTTGAGCAGATATATACTCAGTATAGCGGTATTTTTTCTATTAAGCATAAAACAAGTTGACTCTGAATTTTTTATAATCCAATTTTTACAGTATGGTCTGAACTTCCCCCAGTGAGTGTGGTCAAGATCGGAATTCCAAGCTGGCAATGTAGACAAGCTAAAGTCCCCCATTAAATCCTGGGTTTCCTTAACATCTCATCACAGCCTGATCATTTCTTCACCTTCTTGCATTGCTACACAGCGACAACTTAAAAACATGAAGATTCTCTTCAATCAGATATTTGAGCATTAAAAGTACTTAGTTGTTGAATCGTGTAATATTAAAATTTAAAGAAAAACATCTAGTGGTTTTTCATTAGCTGTAAAGCTGAATTTGAAAAAGTGAAAACACACTTGAAATATGTCACTTTAATAAATCTATATAAATGTTTTACGTAGTGAAACCTGCATTGAGGTGTTAAGGAATGGTGACCTGGCTAGGATGTACTCCAAATGTTGCCTGCTGAAAGCCAACAGAGCCCCTGCAATGATTAAGCTGATACACAAAATGCATGACTACATGGAGATAATACTATTGTTTAATTTGAGTACTGAAAATCATTAATTATCCTCAAACAATAAACACTTTAATGAAATTTATTGTTATAGAAACTACATCCTGACGTTTACTAAATCAATCCAAGGCTTAAAAAATAAACATTTTACATATATCTAAATAAAAATGCAACTTTTGTTAAGTTAAACCCTTTATCTTGTACTATGCTCTAGATATTGCTTGCAGGTTTCTGATGATGAGAAAAGAAAGAAAACAAATTATTACACTTAAGGTTTATTCATTGCTGAAATATAATCAACTACTGACTTCTCAGTAAATAATGTGATAGAAATATACTAAAACTAGATTTTTTTTTTTCCTTTGGAAGAAAACAAAAAACTTGACAGGGGTATGAACATTTCATGTGTGAATAAAGTGACACGATGTACTTAAAAACTTATTTCATCAGACTCAGTTGAAGAAAGAAAAAACAAGGCTTGACATTAATAACATGATTGCAAATCAGTAAAAACCCAAACCTTGAAGTGGGTAAGTAGAGTACTGGCATGAAGACTCATTGGGTTACACACAAATACATGGAATATTACATTTGTTTATCATGATAGGTCCTTGTCTTTTGAAGAAGTATTGTAGAAATAATCAGTGCTAAAAAATAGCGTAGAAATAACATGAGTATAACATGTTTATTTTAACCTGTTTTAATCCTGCAGTATAAAAGCTAGGGATATCCTCAAAGTAAAGTAAACACTGTAAGCAAGGCTTCTTCATTTTGGCAGGAGTGGGATCACTGTACTGCTAATTACCAGGAACTTACATTTCACTTATGTGTGATTAGGTTACTAAGGAATATAGGGGCAACTCTCAAATCAAGTTTACACTACAAAGTTTTGGAGATATACTGAATAAACCATCACATACTGCAGGAGTGATTTCACAACCTCAGCAAAAAACTTGACCAGAGAACAAACATGCACTGACATACTATTAACAAAAAAGATATTTGTCCCCATTTCCCTACTCCTAATAAATGCACTTTACATTAAAAAAAACTCCTCGGAGCCTCTAAGTGAACAACAACAAGACAAAATACACAGCAGAGACGTTATCATACAGCAAGAGTTGTAGCAGGGAACTTAAGTTGTGTAAGGGGAAATACATTAGCAGGTCATTTTACCTAACTTGTCTAGATAACTGCACAGTGTCAGCCAAGCATAGTGTCAATGCACTTAAGGGGTTTTAATTCATGATCCTATGGAAACAGTCACGTCTTTGAAAACACCTTTGAATACCTTCCAATATAATCTGGAAGAATCTCTGGTGATATTTAATATAATTTTCTACAGTAGTTGTTAACACACTCAGTCTAATAGGAGAGTAGATGCAACAGAAAAAGAGAGGAAAATTATCCTTAGGGCAGTAGATGCCTTTGCCAGTCCCTGTTTTATCTCTGTTTCCTCTTTTATAACTGAACAAAAATCCCTCTCATATGCCATTCTTTTAGACCCCACGATCAGAATCTGTAAGGTTCCTGCAAAAATGGCATGTCCTGTTGACTGTCGTGATTCTGTCTTTCATCGGGTCTCTTCGAAAGCTTCAGACTCTTCCCATCTCCTTTCTGCAGTCTTTTAGCCCTGCGGCGGCAGGACACTTTGTGCCTGTGAAGAAGTGTAGCGTTCCAGAAGCGTGCGGAGCAGTGACGGCAGGAGAAGGTCCCTCTGGCACGATGGAAGGCTCGATGGATGAAGGCTGTCAAAGGCCTCTGAGACTGCTTCCCACACACTCTGCACCTCAGCCGATCCTGGGCGCTCAAGGCCTTTTGTGGGTGTTTAACTGCCATGTGAATCAGCAGCCCCGCTTTGCGGGAAAACACGGAATTGGGACATATGGGGCATCCGAAACGTTTCACTGGGACTTGGAGAGATGACAGGATCTGTACCTTCATTCCTGCAGTGTTGATTAGCCTATACCCACCACCACCAGATCCTTCCCCTCGCCTAATCGTCAAACGAAGTGAACCTTGTTTCTTATTATGCTGCCCTCTAATTGTACAGCTCATCTTTTTCTTCCGTTTGACTCCATCATGTCTCACTATATCCTGGGCTCCCCAGTTATTATCCCTCCATTCTCTGCTGTCGGACTTTTTTTTTTTTTTCTTGTGACGTCTCATTTCATCGTGGGGTAGAGGGATGTTGCACTCAAAGTGTTGGTGGGACTGGGTTTCTAACTGATGATGGGGATGATGGTGGGAGAGGTGATGATGGTGATGCAGATGGTGATGTTCGGTGGAGGGCAGCTCTGTGAGGGGCTGGAACGGGGCAGTAGTGTGAAGGGTGCGGCTACGGGACCCAGCCGGATAAATGTGTTCTCCCTTCACCCCAGCAGGGGAATGCGGATGATGTGGGGGCATGATTGTGGAGTTGGGGGGGAGGGGCTGAGAGTAAGATGGAGCACTGGAGGACTGGGCTGCTGCAGCATCATAGAAGAGGGGGGAGTAACCAGCTGGTGGTTGCGGGGGTGGTTGCTGGTGACTATGAGTGACAACGCTAAGACCCTGCCCTCCATGACCGTCAGTGGATGGAGCCATCTGAAGCAGAGCGTTGGTTGCAGCCTCGCTTTCAGAAGCAGACTGATTAACATCACTCCCACTTCTGTTTTCTCCAGATCCACTGCTGCCTTCTTGGGGGTTAGACTGTTCAGCTCGGGTAATCCCATGCTGAGACTGCCTGTGTCGAGTGAGGCTATTAGAGTAGGCAAACTGTTTCCCACATACCTCACAGGAGAAGAACTTGTCCCCCCCGCCTTCATGAACCATCTGGTGATGAGCAGTAAGCTGGAAGTGATGACGGTAGGACTTCCAGCATATAGCACAGGTGTAAAGTCGAGGCTGTGGCGGAGGCTGCGATTGAGGTGGGGGAGGAGGCTGTGGCTGAGGGTTGGAGTCTTGAGGCTTGACGTCTTGAGAGTATGGGTAGTAGGAAGAAGTGGTTGGTGCTGGGTTCTGGCTCCTGTCTTGTGCCACGCTACATTGAGTATTTGGGTTAAAGCTGTTGAGGGTCTCTGGAGCTGGTGTTGTGGGTACCTCTTCCAGCTCTCCTTTCTGGTGGAGTTTGCTGTGCCTCCTAAGGCTCTGGGAGTAACCAAATTCTTTCCCACAGATTGTGCATTTGTAATTCTTTGCACCAGAGTGGACTGTCTGATGCTTGCTGAGATGAAACGCCTCTCTGAAATATTTTCCACATATGGTGCAATGATGCGGCTTTTCACCAGTGTGGATGCGGTCATGTCTGCGTAGAGTCTCACGACGTGCAAACCCCTTACCGCAGACACTGCAAAGGTGAGTGCGTGGGAGCCCACTCTGCCCCATTCTTGGGGTGTACTGCCTACGTTTTGGGGGCTGTCCACCAGTGGCAGGATCTTTTTTAGCTCTTGGTTTGCGAGGACGTTTTGGTTTTGCAGTAGGATTCTGTGGGTTGCTGCTCATAGCCTCTTGGCTCCCACCACTTCGGAAATTCTTATCTATGCCCGATGTAGAGGAAGGTGAGCCTAGAGGTCCTAATCCAAGACCACCAAGCAGACCTCCTATTATGTCTCCCCTATCATCCCCTCTATTTCCACTGTTGCTAGCAGCTGTTATTGCAGAGATTGCATTATTGACAGAGCTAGTGACATCATCCTCTGAGTCATCCAGTAGAGAAGAAAGAGGCAGGTGGGGCTGCTGCTGCGGATGGTGGTGCTGGTTGTGGCTCTGTGAGTGTGGATGCAGAGTTGGGGCCAAGGGAGCCTTTCTCAGAGCTGGGCCGGCCATCCCACTTCCACAGGGGGAGGCACCAGAGTAGCACGGAGATGGATTACCTTGAGAACGGTGGTCATCATGGTAGCCTGTGTAACGATTCCGAGAGTAGTCAGTGGGGTATTTACCATCAGTTCTCTCCCTGTCATTTGAATTCCCTCCCCTTCCAGACTGAAATAGACCATCACATCCTAAACCTGATTTAGGTTCTCCTTCACTCACAATGATTACACCATCCTCTTCCTCAGTTTTCCCATAAATAACCCCTCTATTGCTTTGATAAGTTCCCCCTCCTCCATTACCTCCTCCACCCCCTCCCCCAACTCTGTCCTCACCATCAGTTCCTGTCTTGCTGCCCCGGTGTTTGGGTCCCCTACCTGGCTTGCCGCAGGTGCCTGAGGCAGCATGGTTGAGAAGAGAGGTGCTCTCTCGGAAGGCACGACCACAGGCAGGACATCTGAATGGCTTTTCCTCATGAATCTTCTCATGACGTGTCAGTGACTCTCTACGATTAAAAGCCCGAGAGCAGGTGGAGCAGCCATATGGGCGGGCTGAAGAGTGTATAACTCCATGTTGCAGCAGGTGCCCCTTTTTCTTAAAGCCTTTACCACAGTCAGGGCAGTGAAATATTTTGTCTGGGCTAGGACAAGAATTTGACGAGGGTTCGGGAGTTTCTTGGGTCGAATGGGGAAGGCTTGGGTCAGACTGAGTTTTAATGTAAACAGGGTTTGGGCCTGTAGTGGAAGTATTGCTAGTACCTGCTGCGGTTGGCTCATGCATGCGCATATGCCTGCGAAGGCTTGATAGGTGAGGGAAGCTTTTGCCACAATCTCCGCAGCTATAAATAGGCTCTGTATCAGACTCAGAAGTGTTGGGTTGCATTGAGTTCTGGTTATCAGATTTAGAAAGCTGAGAATCATTAGTAACCAGTACTGAGGCAGCAGTGGAAGAAGGAGCAGAGGAGGAGGAAGAAGAAACTACTGATGAGGATGAAGATGAAGAGACAAGAAGAGATGATGGATCTCCACTCATATTTGTCATACCAACCCCACTGCCAATCAAAGCTGGGGGCTGGCCATGACTTAGCCCTCCATTATTACTAGCAGTACTGGGATTACTGCCATTGACACTGTGAGCATGGCTGCTACTGTTATTACTACCACTATCAGATTTTCTTTGAGGCAAATAGCCAGCCATGGCTTTTTTCCTTCTACTGCTACTACTACCACTACTTCCGCCTCCACTGCTTTCCCCTTTACCGTCTTCCTTTGATAAAGATAAGTGAAGTGGTAAGGGAAGGGGCAAACCTGCTTCCTGCTGCATCAGAGAGGCTATCTGATTAGATGAAAGCACTGGAATGCCCTGGAAGTCAAAGCCACCCAGTGATGAAGCCTGGGAGCCTGGGTGAAGAGGGTGGTGAGGATGAGAATGAGTGTGGGGATGGGAAAGGGAGTGAGGTGGAAGCTGCTGCTGCTGGGTAGGCTGCTGTGTAGGCTGTTGGGGCTGGGGGGTGGAGTGGCCATGTGAGTGTGAGGAGTGCAAAGCAGGAGGAGGAGCAAGGCTAGTGCTAGGCTCCCCACTGGTCTGAGTTAACCCAATCCCTAAGTGGTTATGAGTTCCCTGTTGAACTAAAAACTGTTCTAAACTAGCATTAGCAGGCACACCAGAAAGAAAATATTGATTAGCAGCTAACATGCAACTAAATTGTTGGTGAAGGCTCCGTGCATCAGACTGGGCTCCAACCAACTGGTGTCCCAAAGAGCTGACTGCACTGCTGCTAGAAGGGTTGTTAGAGGTGGCAACAGATGTTGATGGAGAGGGAGAGGAAGAAGAGGGGCCAGGTGATGCCTGGGGGACAGAGAGGCCGGGATGAAGAGGAGGGGGTGGGGGTGCTGATGTTACTAATCCTCCTAATCCCCCAGCACTCCCGCTATTGCTACTTCCCCCGGTAAAGTGCTCAAAGCGGCCTACACTTGGGTGTAACTGCTCCTGTGCTAGTGCTGCCTCAGACGGGTGGAAAGAGCGCAGGAACTGCGGGTAGCCTGAAGAATGACTTGAGCTGCTGCTGCTGCTCATCTTGCTTGACTTTGAACGAGAGGTCTGAGATGAGGAAGGCTGTTGTTGTAAAGGTGGGGGAGGAGGGGCACTCATCTTGGCAAAAATGGAGGCAGAATCAGAAAAGGCGTTACCTCTTGACCCCTGCAGGGGGCCCAGGCCAAGTCCAGACAGAAGAGCTCCAGAAGTCTCAGCCTGCTGCTGCTGCTGCTGGAGTTGATGCTGGTGAAGTTGCACTTGCTGCTGATGCTGTAGCTGTCGATCTAAACCGAGGCCTTTGAACTGGTGGGCCTGGTGCCCACTTAACATCTCTATAATGTCCAGATTGTATTTTCCAAATTGGAACATTTCCCACTCACTGGCACATGGGGGTGCAGATGCCAAACCTCCAGCGCTGGGAGCGGCTACAGTAATCCCTCCACTCAGGGGTGAAAGGCAGACTTCACCCTAAGGGTGGGAAAATGCTACTATGTTCTTACTTTGGAGACAGCTTAAGGTTCATCTCTCCAGACTGTTTACCTCTGGCGCTGCCACTCCCTCTTGATCATCCACTGCCCACACTACACTTCAAAACTCAGTGGGGTAGCTGAGGTGACAAACTGATGATCAAAGATAAACGGTAGACGAGTTCCACCCAACTGCATCAAAAATTTATTCAAGTGTGTTTTTTTTTTGAGGAACCAGTTCAAATGGTGATCTCTTGTCTCCTTTGATAATAACTGTGTTCCTTCACCTAAGATTCCTCATCCTTGTTCAGCCAAGAAGTTCCTATAGCTGAAAACACAGAAGTCAAGAAGGGGTGCAAGTCATAGAAGGGCTTTATATAACTTGGTTTAAAATAACAACCACTCTACACAGAATATCATATTGGCCTTTATATCTATACAAGATGCTACTAAATAAAACAAGTAAAAATTATTTCAATATTTTTTCTACAGGAATCTTGAAAACTTTTACAGTGAGGAAAATAAGTTTTTGAAAAACCTGCTATTATGCAAGTTCTCCCACTTAGAAACTGCGGAGGGGTCTGCAACTGTCATAGGTCCACTGTGAGAGACATAATCTAAAAAATAGAGAAATGACATATGATTTTTTTTACTATTTATTTGTGTGATACAGCTGCAAATAAGTTTTTGAACACTTGTATATCAGCTAGAATTCTGACCCTCAAAGACCAGTCAGGCTGTGCCCGAATGTTCACCCTAATCCCTATATATGGTACTATATAGGTGTTACACCATTTTAAATGAGTGTCTGAACGTCTAGTCGATTAAAAAAATAGTGAGTGGATTAAAAATTTCCCACAATGCACTTTTATAAAGTAGTGATCATCCATTGTCATGAAACGAGCTGATATAACCCAGAATGTGTTGAGTGGAGAGCTCTCCTCGCAAAGCATTATGGGATTTGCTGTCACCTGTGACAGCAGCGACCAAAAACAAAGACAATGCAGGCACTTCGCTATAAAGTCCACTATATAGTCCCTGCTCTATGTAGTGATTAAGGGATCTAAGGGTTAGGGCGGACGTTCGGACACAGCCTTAGTCTGCCTTCAAAATGTTATTTATTATTATTATTTATTATCCTAAATTAAATGCATCTGTTTGAGGTTGTTAACTGCATGAAGACACCTGTGCGCCCCATACAATCAGTAAGAATTCAACTATTTACATAGCCAAGACCAAAGAGCTGTACAAAGACACTAGAGACAAAATTGTCCACCTCGTCAAGGCTGGAAAGGGCTACTGGGAAATTGCCAAACAGGTTGGTGAAAAAAGGTCCACTGTCAGAGCAATCATTATTAGAATCAATCAGAAGCTAAACATGACTGGCAATCTCCCTCGGACTGGGGCTCCATCCAACATCTTCCCTTGTGGGGTCTCAATGGTTCTAAGAAAGGTGAGAAATCATCCCAGAACTACATGAGAAGAGCTGGTCGACGACCTGAAAAGAGCTGGGACCAGCATTTACAAGGTTACTGCTGGTAATACACTAAGACAACATGGTTTGAAATCATGCATGGCATGGAAGGTTCTCCTGCTTAGACCAGCACATGTCAAGACCCATCTTAAACCATTTGGATGATCCAGAGGAGTCATGGGAGAAAGTCATGTGGTCAGATTAGGGCTGAAACGATTACTTGGGTTAATCATGTTTATTTGATTATTGAAATAATTGTCAACTAACTTAGTAATCAAGTAATTGTTAACTGGAGTATAGACTAAAACGTGCCTTTAACTGACAGAACAACCCACTTAGAGCAGTAATTATACCAAGATTGTAAAAAAAAAAAAAATTAACATAATAATTGACAGTTTAATTGATTTGCAAAATAATCGTTAGCTGCATCCCAAGGTCAGATGAGACCAAAAAAAAACTTTTTTGTTATAATTCCACTAACTGTGTTTGGAGAAAGAAGTATGATAAGTAGCATCCTAAGAACACGATTCCTACTGTGAAGCATGGGGGTGTTAGCATCATGCTTTGGGGGTGTTTTTCTGCACATGGGACAGGGCAACTGCCCTGTATTAAGGAGGGGATGACCGGTGCCATGTATTGCGACATTTTGGGGAACAACCTCCTTCCCTCAGTTAGAGCATTGAAGATGGGTCGACATGACAATGACCCAAAGCACACAGCCAGGATAACCACAGAGTGGCTCTGGAAGACGCATATCTAGGTTCTGGCAAGGCCTAGCCAATCTCCAGACCTAAACCCAATAGAGAATCTTTGGAGGCAGCTCAAACTCCGTGTTTCTCAGCGACAGCCCAGAAACCTGATTGATCTAGAGTAGATCTGTGTGGAGGAGTGAGCCAAAATCCCTCTTGCAGAGTGTGTAAACCTGGTGAAAAACATCAGGAAACATTTGACCTACGTAAATTCAGACAAGGCTGCTGTACCAAATATTAATACCATTGGTTTTCTCAGGTGTTCAAAATGTATTTGCAGCTGTATCATACAAAAAAAATTTTTTTTTAAATAATTCATTGTAATTTCTAGATTTTTATTTTTTAGATTATGTCTCTCACAGTGGACATGCACCTACGATGAATATTTCAGACGCCTCCATGATTTCTAATTGGGAGAACTTGCCAAATAGCATTGCGTTCAAATACTTATTTTCCTCACTGTATATTTGACTCGAAAGGCCTGGTTTACTATAATAACCCTAAAAGAAAAATAACTCAGTGGATGTAACTGTATCAAGGGAATAAAAAATAAAAAAGATTAAAATTCAACAAAATGCATGAAACAGTTTTAAACTCACTTCTTATAATAGACAAAAAACAAATGTTCGTCAAACTTATTGGCACTTATTTTAAAGTACTTAAAACAAATATGCCTCTTGCAAATGTAAATGTATGTCAGATGATCTTCAAACCCTTTAGTAGTTCCTTGCATTGAAGAGAATGCAGTAAAGAATTAGTGCCATATCTGAAAGCATATTCCCATATTTTGCAGTAACTGCAATAAAGAATAATATTCAACATTTTTTGTTTCCAATAACTTACCTTAAGAGTGATTTTGCTGGAGTGTTGCACAGAAAAAGTTGCTGTATATATGCCAATTGTTTTCAGAATTAGACTACTGAAAATAAACACCAAAGCATATTTTTTTTCTTTACTGTGAATGAATACTGTGCACCTTGTAGGCATCTGTGTGAAAAGAGGCAGATTTTGCATATTTAACAAAGCGCTGAAGATAGTGACCTGTATTAATTCATAACTATATTATCTGATCTTTATACGCTGAACATTATGTGTTCTGAATTACACGTTATCTTATGCTAAACTTTCCTTTAATAACCAATGCATAACATAGTACAAGGTAAGAAAAATACATTAGAAAACATAGAAAAGAGCCTGAATAGGGATGGGGCAGTGTGTGGCTCCAAGATAAGCTTTACTTACTTTTGGCAGATTCTGTATTTTACATTGTCTTAGAGAACAAATTCTGGTCATGAGTGGAAAAGTTCTCACCAACAATTACTTTTGAGAATTGAGTGAATTATGAACATTGCTCTTAAAGTTTGAAGTTACTGTAAATGTCGGTTAATTTCTGACAAAAGTTTGGATATAATTACAACGACCATAAAAGCTGAATAAAAAAGTGACCTATTCGAGAATTTTAAGTGACAATATTTATTCTAAAGCAAATTTCTTGGTGGATTACCTATTTTGATGAATGATACAGAAAGGTAATCAAAAACACTTAAAACACTTGAAGACAACGTGCACCAGGCTTCACTTAATGAATATGAGAGATTGTAACCCCAATAACAAATAACTGCTAGGGTTGCTAACTCACTGAAAATTAAACTTCTTGTCGTCCACCCTGCCATAATTATGAATAAATTTTTGTCTTTTTCTTATATGTGTGAATTTAGTGAACATTTAAATCAAACCTGAATTCAATTACATTATGATGGCCAGGTTGAGTTAATAAATTTTTTTTTGGTTTTACATTTTGTTTTTGTTCAATATTTTTTTGCAATCACAAGCATTACAAGATCAGGTAACTGGAGATGCGATATCGTGCAGGCAAAAAAAAATAAGAAAAAATTGTTTGCCAAGCAAGATAAGGGACGACTAGCATTCGGAATAAAATATAAATGCTGACGTTCACTGAAGCAACTAAAGGGCGGATTATACTTCTGCAACCGCACGCATCAAATGTTGCTTGCGTCTGGTTGCGAACCAGTTTTGCTGGTATGCTTCTGCAACTTCGGTCTGGAATTTCTAGGGACGCACAGCAGTTTCCCACCAAAGCGCTAGGGGGAGTCTATTCGAGAACTCTTCAGCGGCACCTGCAGGAGTGTTTATTTTCCAAAACAACATGTCTGACATCAACCTTTCATCGTGGGTATCCATTGTTATTACTCCTCGGTTTATAAAAATGGCGCGCCCCGGCACCGAATCGAGAAAGACAACCACACAGACCGCCGGAAAGGCATACCAAGGACCAATCACAGCTGCTTTTCATCTGCACACTT